AACGCGTTTCCCCGGGGCTGTGAGCAAACTTAATTAGAAAAGTTTGCCGTTTGCCGCCTTCGAGGCGATCGGAAAACTTGAATCTCTTTTCTCTTCGCATCTCTTCTTCGGATTTGTGTACATTGTCAATATTGACCTTCTAAATGACACTGTGATTTGTTTAACCATCACCGTGAAAATTTTCAGTTAAAACATCATTTATTTTATTAAATACTAGAAAACTCGAGAAGTTGCAGTGAAACAGACAAATAAAGCTAAAATTTGTATATTTCTTTAAATTTCAGACATTTTAAAACGTTTAAAACACTTTTTACGAATTAATCTCATTAGTTTTCTTTAAAATGTACTTAAAACAACAAAAACAATCGTTTTATTATGTTTAGATTAAAAGATATGATTTTTTTACATTTTTACGTTATAAGATTGTGATGTGTATGTATGGTGGTCTATATCATCTAGTTTTGAATAACTCAACAATCCCTACAGAGTTAGAAAGGAAAATAAACCAAAAAGAAGGAAAAATTGAAAAGATATCGTTATTGAATGACAAAAAACTATTCAGATATTTTCACATCATATCGAATCATAAAGATAAATAAGAAAATGTGAAAAAATACATAAATAAAAATTGCGAATCAGGCAACCAAATATACACCACTACTAAATAATTTATATCAACCAAAATTTAAAGAAACCATGACAAAATTGCTAAAAAAAAGTAAAATTAATGTGTTTGTGCATAAAAACGAGTTGAATTCAATTTAAACTTTAACATTTTGTGAATTTTTGTGGCTTTTTCCAAGCACACTTTGTTTCAATTGCGCATTGTTTCGTTTTTTCATTTTATCCTCACGGTTTTTTTCGTTTTCTGTTCGCCAGCGTAGAGATACTTGCACATTCGTTTCAATTTCGGTTGAAAGTCCTTTCTGCGACTCTCGATATCCCGCTCTTCTTTTTTTTATTTCCGGGCCCAACTTACCCACATAGCGTATTATCCTTGCGAGGACGAGCGAACAATATTAACTTTTAGTTAAGCGGCGTGCGTATCCAAGTCACGCCAACGTTCATCTCCTCATTTCGGCGGAGTCATTCGTGTGCGAAGCAAAAGAAAAAAAAGTCACCAAGAGATTTTTATCCGTACGTTTTTATTCTGTAGGTATACTTAGGTTTTTTCTTCTCCTACACGTGTGTTGCCGATTTGCCGGTCAGAAACGAATATTGAGAATATCGATGAGTGGGAAACCTTCACGTGAAGCGAATAAGAATTGAATAAGATCGAAGCGATGCGTGCGATAAGTTTTTCGTTTTTCCGGGGGTAGATTTCGGCGATATGGAAGCGATCATGGATTTATACTCATGCGAGGGGACTAGGGTTAAGAGCGACCAATGTCAGGCGATTTTTCCAGAGGACAAAAACATTTTTACCTTTTATACAAAGTGTTTCAGAAAGAAAAATGTTTTTAAATTATTTTAGATGAGAATAAGTTGTTTATTTTAATACGTACTCTTCTGTTTGTTTGAAATTTTGTGTTTTGGGGTTTTTCATATCCAGTGAAAAATCGCCGACACAAGGGGCGCATACGAATTGAAAAATATAATAGAAAATGGAAAATACCAAGAAGAAAATAGAAAAACCTGCGCGTTTGGGTAATATTGATCTAAACCTTCTTTTTTTAGTGATTTTGTCATGGTTTTTTTTAAATTTCGGTTTGATATAAATTATTTAGTAGTAGTGTATATTTGGTTGCCTGATTCACAATATTTATTTATGTATTTTTTCACATTTTCTTATTTATCTTTATGATTCGATATGATGTGAAAATATCTGAAGAGTTTTTTGTCATTCAATAACGATATCTTTTCATTTTTCCTTCTTTTTGGTTTATTTTCCTTTCTAACTCTGTAGGGATTGTTGAGTTATTCAAAACTAGATGATATAGACCACCATACATACACATCACAATCTTATAACGTAAAAATGTAAAAAATTCATAACTTTTAATCTAAACAAGATAAAATGATTATTTTAATTGTTTTAAGTAGATTTTAATTAAAACTATTGAGATTAATTCGTAAAACGTGTTTAAAACGTTTCAAAATGTCTGAAATTTAAAGAAATATACGAATTTTAGCTTTATTTGTCTGTTTCACTGCAACTTCTCGGGTTTTCTAGTGAAAAGACGGTGCAAATATTGCGCAACGTGTTTCATAGACGAGAGCACGTTGCATTAAAATTTATGACCTGCGCACATTATTTCGCCAGCGAGCGTGCGCGCAAAAAAAGTGGAAAATAAAAAGCCGCCACCGCCTGAAGCTGCTGTTTAAATTAGTATTTACTTAGCATTTTGCCCCGTGGCCGCAAAAGTAGATTTACAAAAAGAAAACAAAACAAAAACACAAAAAGTGCGTTTAAAGTACCTACTTGGGTACTTGCAAAGTGGTTTTCCATTAGAACATTAGACGCTTTTCCATTAAGCCGCCAAAAAAACGCGCGCCATTTGCCCTACGCTATCAATACGGAAGCATTTTGGGTTGCCTAATACACATTTACATAAGCTTTAGTTGTGACGTGATTTAGCTTTATGCACGAGTACGTGTTTCATGAAATAATTATTTTATGCGTCATACGTCGCAATATTCGCAAATTAAACTCGTGCGGCTTGCATTTTATTCGTGTGACAGTTTGAAAGTCTGGCGCACGCCTTTGGCAGAAAGCTTCGGTGAGTCACATTCGATTAGACCGCACGAAAATTATGTCTTGTTGATATACTACCTGGCACAAGTAACAAAAAGTATCACATACTTGGTTGCCTATATTAGAAATTACATTATGATTAATTGCTCATAAATAACTTACACCGTACAATACAATAGCTGTACAAGTCACAAACAGAAGTAATAAATCGTTTTATGCTTCGAGTCTCCTAAGGGCTAAGTTTTGCAAAGAATGCGAACAACAAAACGATAAGCGCGGATTGTTAATCATAACCTGTGTTTTCTTCTCCTGCTCGGTTGGATGCATCTGCTAATGTTTGCATCCATTGACACAGAAACCGAGGAATCGAAACTGCATAATGTCTACTTGCAGAAAACTTACGGTACTTTCGTTACACGAGCAACAACAGTTGGTAACAATGGCGTATGGTGAGTTGAGGTTAGGTGCAACCGGGCGCGTCAAGCAATTTATTTTAAAATAGATTTTCTATCGAATCATAGGCAATAGAATGTAATTATAAATTAATTTTATTGTGACACTATGTATTTTAGTTGGTTGTGGTCGCGGTAGTTTTCTAATTTGAGATAGAACAATGCCATTAAATTTATCTAAACTGTCATTGCGGATGTTTTTGTTTTGCGTTTAAAACCGCATCAAACGGTACAATGTCTCCAAATAACACATAATTTCTGTATATTTGGTTGCCTACATTAAATTAATTGCTTTTTTGTGTTAAAACCAGTTAAAACCTTCGAAATGAAGTTTTTAAACTTTACATTGTGAGATAGTAGTTAATTTGCAAGAATTTCAAATAAGAAGCTAGGATAGAATATCCTCTCGGATGCAGATGTCATCAGGAGAAGTGTTGCGTGAGTTTGCAGTTTCGCATTTTAGTTAACATGATGAGCCCCATGCCCGGGCTGCCGCAGCTCCTCCAGCGTTGGAGGTAATTGCCTCCTCCGGCTTAATCCACTTTGGTTAATTAAAAAGACGCCAACTAGGTAACTGCCTATACAACGCTGATCAATATTAGAATCTTGCATCTTCTGCATAAAATAATCTTTTTTCAGTATTTGTGAGGTGAATTTCGGTGCCATTCACGTTTCATCTGCTAATTTCGGGTTAATTCTATGTAAAAAGCCCTTTTAACAGGTCGACGTGCCCTTTTGGTCCAATTTATCTTATCGCGGCCAAATACAAAGACCAAAAGAGCAAACGCGCAAAAAAGGCAAAGACGTGTAATCTCGCGGCTTTGCTTGCCGTTCCAAGTTGGGAATATCGGAAGTACTAATGAAGTTCACGACCGGTCGTATTCTGTTCACGTGCAAAGAGAAGGCAGAGAAGATCTCCTTTCTTGCGTATTACTTATTTGGTGCGCGCTGTCATCAAAGCACACTCAAAACCTAGAAAGATATTTTTAGGTTATGTTTATTACGCTATTTTTCATTCCAGCCTGGATGTGAATACATTAACCCTCGTATAATTAATTATTATCTCGGCTTGCTTAATATCACAACACAATTCGTGCAAAACATGCGAATTACACACCGGAAACCCGGAAAAGCGAGGCGCGAAGACGAAATTAATTATGAAAGTTTTTGCAGTTTAAGGATTTCACAAGAAGTATTATTTATGCTGTGATACTTAATTAAATTTACAGTGAAAATTTCCGAGTATATAGGCAACCCAAATAACATACATACACAAATAATGTGTATTTATTTGTGTTTTGTAAAATAATTTGTGTTTCTTTTTTTTGGCAAACATAATACACACATAATTCATTGGGCATGGGGTGACGGTGACGTCACGATGGACGCCGCCGTCGCGGGCTCGAAATAAACGTCGTCGTCGCGACGCTCCGACAATCACGACACTCGCCGCAATGTTTTTGCCAAACTTTTCGTTACATTAATCATGCCACAGAGAAGAATATGTTTGCTGTGTGATTAATTAATTAAATTAATTCACACATGTTACATTCAAAATTAACATGTTGTGTATTATCAGTTGCATACCATCAAAATGCGCATGTTAATTTGGTTGCATACTTCTAGTTTCGTACGAAATTTTTTGCATGTTTTCCAGCTAAAAATGTAATGTAATTCGGTGGAATGGAGAAAACAAAAGGACGAAATTTGCATTTACATTGTGCGCCGTCCGGGATTTTTTGGCTTTTACATTTCATTCTCATGTTGGGTTGTAATTAATTGTCTAAAACTGGAAATTAAACCGAAAAGATTTTATTTTCACTTGTACAATAGCCTCTCATTGTTTGTTGCAGTTTATTGGCTGTTTGGATGTGCCACGACCGACGAGTCGCGTCGAAATTGTTTCAGCGATGCGTCGGATACGGGTAAGTTTCGCAACAAAACAATTTTTATTGCGCGTTTGTGCAATTTCTTAGCGTTTTGGAAAATAAATCACCACTTTATTGAGTCGTTGGACTATGTAAAGAAATTGCCAAGTCGATGATATGAAATTGCAGGGATTTGTAATGGCGTAGTGGCGTGTTTAGCCGCCCCGTCTGCCATTTTGTCGGAACGCGCCAGCGGCAGCACATAAAAATGAAAAACGGCTGCATTTCGAAGCGGATTTATTCAGCGCGCTGCCATTTCGGGTCATTCTATGCCTTGCACACGAAAAGAATTGTTTTAAACCCGCTGAGCGTTATTAAATTGAATAATTTATTGCCGAATTACGTTTAATCGCTTACGATAGGCAACCCAATTCACGCTGTGCTTATATTTTTCTTGTATTTTCAGTATGAATTCAAAACAAAACGGATTAAGAAGAAGAAGGTGACGATCAAAGTTTCCCGGGACGGCGTCGAAGTTACTTTACGTAAAAAGAAAAAGGTATGAAGGGAAATAATTGAATTTTGATGAATATACAGAGTGTTTTTGATAAATTCTAAATGAAATTTTTGATTACAGCGAAAACACTGGCTGGACGAATCAGTATTAATGTCGAATCCGATTTATCGGATATTCTACGTGTCGCACGACTCTCAGGACCTCAAGATCTTCAGTTATATTGCACGAGATGGCTCTTCGGATGTTTTCAAGTGTGCTGTATTTAAATCTAATAAAAAGGTAGGCAACCCAATACACTTGTTGAATTTAGTAGTTAATAAGCTTAAAACTAAACAAATCATTATTTTAATCCGAATTATAAATTAGAATATGAAATTTCCTCTTGAGTAAATTTTCCCATGCTTCGTTATTAAACTTTGTACCCGTACGAAACTTAATTAAAGCGATTTTCATACTAAAACACTTGCGGTGCGCCAAAATTTACATTTTAACATTTAAATTTATTTACGCTATAAAAATGTGTAATATATGAAGAAGACATGTGTATCTAATGCAGACAACACGCAAAAAATGAGCGGGGACCGAAAATAAATGATGAAAATCGACAAAAAGTAAATGGAAATTCTTGCTTGACGTCGACGTAGATGAGAAGACTCTTCTTCTTGCATGTGTCATCATTTTTCCCGAACGTGTGAAATATTTCACGCAATAAATTCATATAATGCACAATATGTAAACTGGAAAAAATCCAAATTCAAAGTCTTCCGATTATCCAATTTTTCCCATCGATATTATTTCCGTTCTTTTATTCAAGTTGCTTTTCGACATTTTCCACATTTCCTGCGGCTACCGTGGAGCGTCTCGTAAAAGTACGAAAGTATCAAATCGAATTTTCACGTCATAAAAGCGATATGTGTGTCTGTGTCGGGTTTGTTCCCCAGCGGAAATGCGAAAACTCCTCGCGGGCCAAAAAAAGATGTGAGTGTGAAGTTGGTGAGGAATCGCACGAACAAAAAGAGTTTTACTGTTTTATCGAACATTTTCATTCAAATACGTGCAATTTCTTTTGAAAACTTTTACAAAAACACTTGCAATTTGTATTAACTTGGGTGTTAATTGGGTTGAATACATTAAACTTAAACAAAACGAATGTTTCGGGTTCAAAAAAGCCTCTCGCGCTTTATTCGTACAATAAATTCACATTATCACAATGGCGTTGGGGATAAATACAAATTGTGTGTACTTGAACACTTTTCTTGCGGATTTTCTTCGTCGAACATCAGTTTTACTTTATTTTTAAGCTTTGGGGAGAAAAATAATTTTTTACACATTGTATTTCAGTGGATTTTTATACAATATGTCGCGGGATAACTAAATATTTAATTCTTTTGATTTATTTTTACGTTTTTCGTGTGATGTGATGAAGAATTCGCTTGCCAAACGAGTGTATTGTAGCGTGGCGAGTGCGCGTCGCGGCGAATTGTTTTATTTTTACGTTTGTCATCATTTTATTTAGTTTTGCTGACATTGGACGCGGAATTATCGCCACCGCTCATATTTGTACGCTATTTATACACCGCACGTACCTATTTGTTACTTCATTTGGGTCATTGATGCCATTTGCCTTGCAGTCCTCGCATTAATTCGCGTGAAAATATTAATCGCATACGCATTATCTTTGCCTAATGTTATTTATTAGGTGTTGGGCGCAATGACGCACTTGCCAGTTGCAGTTGTGGCTGCAGAGTGCGTTGTTGTCATAAGCAATAATAAATGAATGTTATTTGCACTTGCGCGCGCGGTTCCTTGATGACATCGCGGTTCATAGAAAACGAAATTGGCATAAAACTTCTAATGCGCCAGCGGTGGAGCTTTCAGCTTTCGGAGTTGTCATATTTGCACTCGTTTATTGCCGCGACGCGTTGAAATGTGCCAAGGCTTGGCGTCTTGTATAGTTTTTTTGATGGCCCGCGGCAACTGTGCGATTGTTTTCACAGTAAACGTCGCAAAAGTGTTTTTGTTATTAAATGAAACGCATGGTGAAATCGCGAGTAATTGTCAGTCGCCAGTACAAGTCAGTCGTATAAAATATGATTTTATTGTGAGGTTTAATTATGATTTTATTTTGATTTTTGATAGTAGGAATTTTGAATGTATTTTGATGGGCATTTTTGGGCATTTCCGGTTAGTTTTTTTGGGTTAAAAAGGTAGACATATTGTAGTCGGACTCTTAAACTGCAATGTGACATTCAAAAACCTTTAGATATTTGAAAAGAACAGGAGATACATGTTGTTTTCTACTTGAAAATTTGAAATATTTACAAAATTTATAAAAAGAGCAATTTTTGAAATCAATTTCCGGGTAATTCCTAATTGTTTAAATGTGAATAATGTATCCAAGTTGTAAAAGGATCTATAAACTACAAAATGGCGGTTAAAAACCTTCAGTTATTTGAAAATAACAGGAGATACAGGGCGTTTTCCTATTAAAAATATGAAAAATTTTCGTTTATTTAAAAAAAGAGCAATTTTTGAAAGCAATTTCCGGGTAATTCCTAATTGTTTAAATGTGAATAATGTATCCAAGTTGCAAAAGGGTCTATAAACTTCAAAATGGGGGTTAAAAACCTTCAGTTACTAGAAAAGAACAGGAGATACAGGGCGTTTTTTTAAATGAAAATTTGATAAATTTACGTTTATTTCAAAAAAGAGCAATTTTTGATAGCAATTTCCGGGTAATTCCTAATTGTTTAAATGTGAATAATGTATCCAAGTCATAAAAGGGTCTATAAACTACAAAATGGCGCTGAAAAATCCCAAATCACCCCATTGGTACAGAAGATACAAAGTGTTTTCCAATTCATTTCACATTTTAACAAATTTTACAATTATATTGATTTTTTCGATGTTTTATGAGAGTTTGTTGATCTTTGGTCCCAAATTCTATCTCAGAGGTTCACCATACACAAAACCATTAAATTTGACATGCTCTCTGTACAAATAGTTAACAGTATACGTGCATAAACAACTCTAATTACACTATCCGATAGGAATATCTTGTTTTGTCAGATGCTAGATTAAAAACATGACAATTTATTGCCCATAACCTTATGGACCATGTGTTTATACCATAAAATTTAATTTAATAACATTCGACTCCGCCATTTTCATCGTATCTCCGCTAGAAATTTCGAATGATAATAAAACGTCGGTTTTACCGCAATACACGAAACCTTGGCATTGCAAACACCGTAAATTAATCCAAACTACAACAAAACATTACGACCCGCCATCATTACACGTGCCATATTTTTATCCTATTTCTATTAATTCAATATGCAATGCCAATGTGGATATAGGCAACCAATACTTCACATCTACGATTGTTGAAGTTAAAATGAACTTGGAGAAATAAATTACGCCTAAAAATAACCAGAAGTGTTATTAATAGTTACTCCCGGTTGTTTCCAACAAAATTTTGGAATATTTTTCAATTCCGCGTGTGTGATTTTACGCGAATAGGAAGGAAATGATGTTTACGTTGTCCGCGAGCACGTTGCACGAAGAACTTGTTAGCGATGCGATTTATTTTGATACTGAACGAGCCGTCGCCGCCACCGCTGCCTCCCGCCGCCATGTATTTACGGTTGTTATGAGGTGCGCGCTCAGAGCGTCCCGAGCAAACCTCCCGGCCGGCCCGCGGGGGCCACGCACACACGTTTTCGGCCACCTGGCAATCTCCGCCGAGAAGGCGGCCGCGACATAACAATCTGTCTCAGTGAATACACACAAAACATTCTCAAGTGCGATTTATTTGTCCCCATGGTGCATCATTCCACATTTGTGCAGTTTTGTGAACATAGACAACCAGAAAAACGCGTGCGGCCATTTTGTTTTCATTTAAACACTGAATTGATGGCTGTTTGACTCTGATTCGGGATACTTCAACTTAAACTGTGTAAATGTTTATTAACAATCGATCAAAGTCGGAGGATTTATGAGTGTGTTTCGTGCGCGGAAGTCGCTTTCGGTTTATTTACCAGTTTACCACCCACACATCGAACTGCCATTAATAAGATGAAATGAAGCAATAAAACATCCGAAGCCGAACAAACAGATCTAAATAAAATAACTCTGACTGTCTCAACAATAGCACAGCGGAGGAAACAAACGATTTTGGCAGGCGATTGCCTCAAAAGTTATTTTTGAAAATAAAAAAAAATGTGAAGTTAATTCATCACAGTGAAGAATGAGCCGCAAAATGGCGAAGACCCGGCACTCGAGCCTCGAGATGCCCGACCCGGAAGTCGTAGTCAAGGAGAAAAAGAAAGACATGCTATCAAAGGCGCGCAACAAGTTGTACAACCTCAGCGATGCATTAAAATCAAAAAATATCAACAACAACGAAGAGCAGGACTTTCAACCGACAGGTGGCGCTGTTGTTGGTAGCACCAAAAGATCCCGAGCTCTTAGTTACTTCCTAAAACCATGTCCGAACAAACCGGAAAAGAATACAAGTCGTGTAATCGAAAATGGCGGCGATGGTAAAACCGGAAGTATGAACGAAATCATTGGTAACACAGCAACTGCATTGGCTGGAAGACTCCAAAGGGGTTTTTCGTTGAGGAAACAACATTCCGTTGGCGCTTATCCTATTCAAAGAGATGACCCTGTTGATATGGACGAAGCCATCCGATATGACATTGCAACGCGGCATAGTTCCGTCTCCAACAATAACTGCACTCCTAACTACATCCCCATCTCGCGGTTACGACCAGCGACCATCTGTGGCGATAAAGTTAATCGAGAATTAAGCACTGATGCTTTGGCTTTGGAGAGACCCAGGAAGAAGTTGTCTTTTCGCGAACCGGAAATCACCGAGAGTGTTACACTGAAGCACACGCAACGCAAGGCGATGACACCGGAAATGAAACGCAGCATTAGTCTTATAACTAATCCTAATAACAATTATGTTAATTTTAAAGATTATACGGAGAGTAATGGTGGGGTTAGGAGGGTACCTAGTTTGGATTTAGAAGATTTAGATTTGGAGGTTAATTTTTTTGTTTGAAAAATTGAGATTTTGAGGTTAATTTTGTTTTTGTTTGATTTCAGAGTCAAGCGATGACTGTTGTGCGGACTGTGGGGCAGGCGTTCGAAGTGTGCCATAAATGGGCCATCACCGAGCCGAAGAGTAATGACAACGCAGATGAACAGGATACGTTGACGCAAGACTTGGTTAGTGACCGACTGAGCGACATTACTAGTGACAAACCCAAAAAAGGTTAGTAAAACATTTAAAAAACTAGTTTTACACTAAAAAAATGTCTGAAAACGTTAGAAAAATGAATAAAAAATGAAAATATTTTTGTAAATATGGCGACGTCATGTGTGACACGTGCGACGCTGTCTCGCAGTCATCAAAAAAGCTTAAATTAGCGTCGCAGCTTTCAAAGAAAGCCGCCGAAAGATATTTTCGGGACTTTATTGCTCCTGCTCCTGCTCCAGGAGGATTAATTGCGCGCGTTTCGATTTATTTACGAAACTGTCAAATTAGACGCACTCGTAAAATTCGACGAATCATAAATCTAACCTCAACTTAGCGCTAATATTATTACAAACAAACGTACGACGAATATTTTTAAATGGGGCATGGAAACATTAATTTCAGCGAATTGAAACTTTTTGTTTCCGTATGTGATTAAACGTGAAATTGTGCATCCTACACGCTGACGTCAATCAATTTTTCGGAAAATTTGCGTTTTCAACCGAGTAATTAAATATTTATGATGCGATAAACATCAAACACTATGCAGCTATTAAATTCGACCGCAGTAAATCGCGGCTAATCGCCAAAAATCTCTTATTTGTGTATTTTGCGTGCGCGAATGTCGTCGAACTCATCGAGTGGGTATAATCCAGGCTCTCGCACGCGTCGAGGTTTCCAAATGTCTGCTGATCTGCTGAGGTAGCGCTTTTTTTGTAATTCTGCCGCCGCCGAGCATGCGTGCGTGTATATTCCGCAACCGCGACGTTATTCTTAGTGCGTGAATGACGTCAATGGTGCACTCAAATACGTTTCGGATTGCGAAACACGCGCCGACGACGACGTCGACGAGCAGAAGCAGAAATTATATTTTTATTTTAAGTGTTGAGGAGGGATTTATTCACAATGCCAGTGGGATTATGAGTTGTTTTTTCTGGGTAAGAGAAATGATCCTAGGATGTCCTAGACAGAAGGATTATAATTAATCTTCATTATCTCAAAGGACTTACTCATTCACACTCGCATTTAATAAAAATTGTTTTTTTTTTGCAAAATTTACTATAACTCTAGAACTAGAAGTGATAGATACTTGATTCTTATTTCTATTAATAGATAATAATCTTAACTTTAAGATAGAATTTGAAAAAGTTTTAAAAAGTTTATAGGTTGTCCGTAATTAACAAAAAAATGAAGAAGTTTTTTATTCACATTCGCATTTATTAAAAATTGATTATTTTTTTTACAAAATTCACTATAACTCTGGAACTAATAGAGATAGACACTTGATTTTTCCTTCTACTAATAGATTATAATCTTAACTTTAAGATAGAATTCAAAAAGGTTTTAAAAAGTTTATAGTTTGTCCGTAATTAACAAAAAAATGAAGGACTTACTCATTCACACTCGCATTTAAATAAAAATTGATTATTTTTTTACTAAATTCACGATAACTCCGGAACTAAAAGAGATAAACATTTGATTTTTATTTCTATTTATAGATAACAATGTTAACTTTAAGATAGAATTTAAAAAAGTTTAAAAAAGTTAATATTTTGTCCGTACTTAACAAAAATAAATCAAAATTTGCTCTAATTTTAGTTATATTCTGATTAACTTTGTTAGCTTGAAATATCCACACTGTTCATAATTAGTAAACAAATGTTTCTATTTTCTGTCGACGTGCGGCGTGTCTCGTCCGTAGCAAAAGGTTTTTCAACGTCTAGCACGCCGCAAAGTTAGTTAGCAGCCGGCGCGGGCTTCCTGCGCTCGCGGGCACAATGTGCGCCGAAAATAAATTTAACGATTGCTTCATTACGCCCGTAAAATACAAAAAATTACTATTAATAAACAATCTACAAGAGCGTGAAAATTTTGGCAAATCGACAATGCGCGCGCATTACAATAACACGCGCCTGCGAACGTAAAAACTTCAAAACTTCACTCGCGGCGTTACTGCCGCCGCCAGCGTCGCGAAATGAAATTGCGAACTTTGTATTAGTTTTGTAATAACTTGCGGGAGGCGGGATTTAAGTGAAAAACTTTGCGTTTGCACGTTTTCCGCGCTGGAAGTTAAATAATGTTATATTTGTGAGCGTCAAACTCAAGAATAAACATCACTTTTTCTCAGCGCTATAACTCAGCTTATTAATATCACAGAAATCTTATCAAAGTGTCATTAGAAGGAGAATTTACAGGAGAATAAAACTGTTTTTAAAAGAAAACTTTATATTGAGTAGTTTTGCTTTGGCGAGCAAAATAATTCAGAGTGTTTTTTTGATGTGAAATTGGTTGCATACATTGAAAAATTTAGTTTTTATAGGCGGAAATAAATATAAAGACGAGGAAAATTATTCACTCATGAATTTTTCAAAGAAATGAAACCTGTTACCCTGAAAGAATATCGGAATATTTATTAAACTCGCGGAAATGCTCAAGAATCGCAGAGAATATTAATATACTCGTATCTACAGGGTGTTGAAAATTTAATTAACTCATGCGAATATTATAAATTTTAATATTAATACTAATCGCAGTGTATTGAAGCGTTAAATGTTTATTAAAAATTTTCTCCGCGCAGCTGCCACTTGAATATTGAAAGAATTTAATATCGAATGCAATGTATGCGTATTTTATTTATTATGAAATCTCGGTTGCTGGTTAATATCAGCGTGAGTATGATGTGCAAATGATTCACGCCTAATTAGTCTAATGAACGCTATCGGTTTTGCGTTGATTATAAATCGAGCAAGCTCTCGAAACCGGCATTAATTACTATGCAGCAAAATCGATTCAAAACGTTTTTAATAGAATTTATATCCACAACAGGCAACCCAATATACACGCGCATAATATTTATGAATATCAACAAGTTAAAAAGAAATATTACCGAATGATATAGGGAAGTGTGTGTGGTTTTCCAAGCAATACTCGTTAATTTACGTCGAGTAATTTATTTTTTCTTCGCCCTGGGGCTAATTTGATTTGCGTTTTGTGCGGCGGCGCTCAAGGTGACGGCTATTTCGGGCGCGTGCTGGCAACCATCCCAAAATCATTTGTCATTTCTTATCGTCGATTTTTGACGCGCACGTCAATGCACAGCATCATCATCATCATCGTGTAATCGCGTCGTTAAAGTGCAACGAATGCAATAAAAGTACATAAACACTCATTAAATCTATTTGTATAATTAATAAACACTCTGTATCTCATGTTGTTAAATTAGTAGGTATTTTCGTTTGGTCCTAATAGTTTTCTTTACACATTTGTGTCTTTTTTTTGTGTGTAAAGAACAAAGGACTCGGTATTTTTTGTACGCCGAAGGGAATTGAGTTACGACGAACAAAATGGAGAGCCCGAGAGCTAGTTAACACTTTTCCGGCCGTTCCAGCCAGGTGAAACTCTTTGGGCACTTCAAACGTGTTGCAAACCAAACGAAATGACCGCTGTGTTGAAATAGAGCAAAAAAAACTTTAACTAGCGCAGAAAAATCTAATTTTATAGGCAACCAAGTATACTATATTCTATATTCTGTTAAATGTGTTGCCTATATTTTTACTTTTTGTTGTTTTATACGTGATTATATCACTATATTTATGGGTGTGATGTGCAGCGATGCGTAAATTATAATTTTCCGGCTTGTTTCTTAAGATATATTCGCGTATGCAACTCTGAAATGAGTAAAAAGACTAAATAAATCCGCGCGGCGCTGGCGAAAAGATGGATGAGTAGAAATAACGAGCCGGTTCGAGCTACCGAAAACAGGAACCGCTGGAATTGGCAAGCGCCGCTCCATCCTCCCTTGGCTATTATAAATCTCAGCTTTCGTGCGCCCACGCGTTCACATCCACATATTAAATTCGTTGTCTTTTTTTTTATTTGCTACGCGCCGAGGGGCGCCGCTTTATTGTTATCTTCATTCTTTTTACCAGCGAACGAGTTGAGTTGAATCCAAGGGGTTGATTGTAGTCGTATAATTTTTATACACGCCAGAGACTTCGTTTGATATCGACGCAAAATCGTTTGATGTTGAAGAAATAAAAGAAAAGATAAAAACGGATGAAACATTTTATTCGGTAATGGAATAGGCGCTCAGCATTAGTTAAATAATCCCTACTAATATAATGTTTGTTACACTTTCACGCAAAAACTACTTAACCGATCATCATGAAAATTTGTACACATATTCTTAGTGGTCCCCGAATGGTTATAGGCTACTTTTTATTTAATAAAAAAAATTATTTTTTAAATAAAATAAAGAAATTGTTTAGCCAATAATACCTCTGCATCTGGCTATTTGACTACTTTAACGCCATCTAGCATTCCAGCAATGAAGCTCAAACCTAAGTACTATAGTACCATCACACTGTATTATCACACTGTATTACCGACAGCTACGTCAACATCAAATCCAATTGACTACACTATGGAGACTGTACACTATACTTCCATAGACTATATTTTCAGCCATTTTAAAATTCCCGCCATTCTACTTCATTGTTACTTCTTCTGTGATTACCGACGCTTAGGGAAGCAACTTTATTATTTTAGATATTCGTGAGCGAAGCAGCAGGTTAAAGCTAGTAATGTATATTTGGTTGCGTGGTATTTTAAACTTTCCACTTTATATGAATGATGATTACACCGGGGCCAGATTGCTTATGAATTTTATAGTTTATTGCTGAAGTGCTGAAAGTTGCGGACATTTCACCTACGCAATTACACGATTTTCACGAATGTATGCAACCAAATTAACATTTTTAAAGAAATAATTCAATTTTTTCTTTTTCACAGAAAAAGGAATGTTTGTAGCGATTGCGGCTCATTAAAGTAATTATCGAAACGCAACCGTGCATAAAATCAAAGAAAAACACACACAGACGCAGTCTCCGAGGCAGAAAACGTAAAACGCTTCGATTTTACGATCGAATAAAAATACCAGTACTCGCGGGCACTCGCGTTCTTTGTTTTGCGCAAAATATTACATAGTCGCGCAGTACGAATCGGCATAATGCGCGTTTAAATATTATTTTAGTTCTTTGAACGTGTATTCGATTACATGCGGTGCATACGTGTATAATATTAATGGGTGCATAAAATTTGGACATTTATGCTTTCGTCGGGAATAATTTTATTTTCCATGCTGAAATTTGTTTACAATATTCCTTTATAGCTCCATTGCGATTTATTCAACTATCATCTTACGTTTTAATAGAAAAAATCTTTTTTTGCGGTGATTTTGTTGAAGATAAATGCTAAAACGTTAAAAAACCTTGAAAATGTTTTTAAGCTTGCGGATAAAAAGCTCGCAGCACGTTAAAAGCGCTTCAGATGGAGTAAAAGCAAAGTGCTCGTCTCGTTTAAGTTTTTTTCACGCAGGTTTTGTTTTTACCAACAGGGAATGTAAATGCATTGTCGGTGACATGTGAATCATGTCGTAAATCTAAAAAATTCATTTTTCTTTTGAAAGTCTAATAAATTACACAATCAATTACTCAAATACTTAAAATTAATGTATGCAACCATATATACTATACATAATAGTATGTGTATATTTGGTTGCATATATTTATAATGTAATTCAAATTAAATACCTGTTGGCGTAATTTTACGATCGCGTTGGGAGCAGGGATTAATGCTAATGCTCCGCAATTTATTCGCGTGTTTATTATCATGGGGCATCGACTCGCGTGCACTCTGGACGAGACACACTAGATTAGAAAACAAATTGTTGCAACGTAATAAAACACATTAAGTGCACTTAATGCTCGCGTGCGTGACTCATCGATTTGGATTTGATTCTTGATTGATGTTGATTGAACATTAACTATAGGCAACCAAACAAACTTTCATTTTATTTTCATTTACAGACGTATATTCCGAAGGTGCAAGTGATAAATTGTCCCTACCGGATGATGATAGCTTCAAAGATCTAAATTCTTTGACGGATAACAATAACAAAGCGAATAAGCAACAACAACAACATTTAGGTAACGGAAAAGAGGCGTTACCTTCACCACCAACAAATCAAATGCAATTTGTGAGAAAATCAGCTGTAACGTCGGCTGAAACGTATGTGGCTCCGCACTGCGATGGCCCTCTAACGGCAGGTAGCGGCAGCGGCGGTAGTTCATCCATTCCAGCGGCCGGAAGCGCCATCTCCGTCCATCATGAACTACAGTTGTTGCGTGAACAACTTGATCAACAAAGTCAACAAACACAAGCCGCATGCGCACAACTGCAACTAGCCAGGGAACAATTGGCTGCTGAGCAGGTTAGTTATCTACTACTGCGCATGCGCAAATGACTTAAATGAAATTAATTGATATTTTCAGAGTGCACGAATGGAGGCACAAGCGAGAACCCACCAGTTGCTCGTTCATAATCGTGAGTTATTAGATCACATCGCCGCATTGGTGGCGCATCTCCAAGGCAGCGATAAAGCCGCTAATCTACCGCAAAGTTCTCCACATCTCACCATGCCTCAGGTAAGTTCCTGAAACTTATAGAAAACTTGTTGCTCTTGAATAGCTAAAAATATCTAATGTATGCAACTTTATATGCATGCATCTGCGTGTTTCTGTGTTGTGTGCATGCTGCAGTGTAAAGTGTTTGCAAAAAGTGTGTTTCCCAATTGTTGCAAGCAGACAAAGACGAATCAGGACAACAAAAATCATCTGCTCATCGATTTCCTCACCGGAACGCAATGCTAGGTAAAACATAACCTAACTAATCAGCTAGCGCTTACAGTGTCACGTGTTACAATCAACCTCAGGAGTAATAATTTATTTTTAAAATGTTTTCAATTAGCAATCACATCAGGGGTTGGTCGATGGTGGTGTCTATCATGACCCAGACGCTAATTCCATGGATCACAGTCCTGTATTAGCGGCAGCTCTCGGACTCAACCCCCAAGGACTGATTGAAAACCGTGCGGTAACATCAGTCCTCCCAGCGTCACCTCTACGCACCACTTTTAATCCCGGAACCGGGGGAGTGTTTAATTTCGCATCACAACCAACACAATCTCCTGGTCAATTGGATTTTGCTCTGGAAAGTCAACTCCTGCAACGTTTACAGGCGTTGAGTGGTTACACACCTCCGAATTACTACAATCAGAACCTCGCTTTTCTTCCTAACCTCTACGCGAACCCCATGGTGAATAATAATTACACCCTACAAACACCCCCACAGAAAAAATTCACTCCTTCACCTCTACCAGTACGGCATTCGTTTCAAAGCAGTCCTGTAATGGATAAAAGGTTAAGCCCCGCGAGGAATAACGATGTCTATCAATCACAACAAAGTCTTTTGTATCAATCCCAACAAAACCTACAACAAGCTGGTGTTGGAGTTGGGGTTGGAGTGGGGGTAAATTATAGTGGGAGTAATACTTCACCACAGAGACAACTCTCACAACAGAATCTGAATCAAAACAATCAGAATAATAATCTACAGATTCTACAACAACAACAACAACAACAACAACAGCAACAACAACAGGTTAGGTCTGATAGAATGTCTGAACCTAGATATATCAAACCCCTAAGTCAAATGGGTACTTTAACCACAACAGACCCCAATGGTCGTGTGAGGGTTATAGTACCAATTCCGTCTAACCAATCAGAGGATAGGTCTGACGCGGCGGACATGTTGTCTGCGTTACGATTGGGTTCTGCGAGTGGGCCAGGCATCACACGCTCCACCAGCGAGAAAGTGCCCAATCGCAGTGAGCTAATGTCAGAGGTACATCGAACTACATGGGCGAGGCATACTATGAAATAACCTAGTTTTATCACCTCCTCCATAACCTTAAAAAATATTTTATATTTATAAAATTGAATTTCGACGATTGAGAGTTAAATATTCAATGTTACTAAATTATTAAATTGTATATTATGATATTAAAGAAAAAGGATTGTGATTTTATCTTCGACGAAAACTCCATGCAACAAATTATTAATAATAATAATGAATGAATGGCATGGCAGAGGAGAGAATTTGTTATAAATGGAGTTACGGAATCGTTGAAGCGTCCAACCCTCTGATTTTAAATTAATTAAGTCGCATGTCTCGAGTTGTGAATTTCCATTTTCGGACGAAATTTTCATATTCGATGTTGGTTAACTCCTGAAATGTCCCGAGGGTACGTTTATTGCGTTTATATATTTTAAATTTGCATCACTTTTCCGCGAAAAAATTTTAATTGTTATGGTAGGCAACCCAGATTACAAGCAAAGCCAAAAACGTAAATTTCTTCTTATGACGACTTTCAATTACGTAGCGTATAAATACCGTAGTTATAAACTATCCTAAAAATGTACAAATGTATAAATAAACTATGATTCTGTTACGTTCAGGATGTTTACATGTTTGAAACATCCTGTATATGATGCCAATTAATGTATAAATAAAGCTATAAAACAAATTTAACTCATTATCACAATTTTCATGTTTTATGTTAAATTATTTTATTTATCTTCATAAACAACGAGCAACAAGTTTTTTTTTTTTTTAATTTTTTTTTTTTTTTATGTTTTTATTATTTTTAAAAATTATTTTTCAGTTGTCAGCCGCAGCGAAAGTTGAGCGTTGGTTTGAAATGCTGGAGCCGACGTCGATATCGCGCCCCGAGAGCGGATTCGTATCCGGGCCGGATCAGAACGAAGAACAAGATGAACAGGACGACGAACAAGCGATCCTGGAAGGCACCAAGTCGCTGCTTTCAAAGCTCAGCGCGAAGAAACAAAGGAAGTTACTTGGGTTGAAATTGGGAAAAGTTACGACCTTCTGACGTTTGTACAAAAATCGGACGCGTCGCGGCAGGTACAAACGTATTTAGCGCACGATTTTATCATGACACGTCTGAATCAAAACCCAAAACAAAAAATTTTTGCAAAAAAATAAAATTTCGACTGAATTAAAACCAATTATAAATTTAAATTTAAACTTTGGAACTGAAAAATTAAAAATTAACGAGAAAGAAGATCAATTAATTTAGTTTATATTAAGATTAATTTTAAGACTTTTTTTTTATTTGATTTGAGAGTTGGCATTTTATAATTGAACAAGTTTTAATTGTAATTATGCCAATCGCGGGAGATTACACAAAATGACTGAATCACAATGGTGCAGTTTAATTAATATTTTAGTTTAATCGTTTCCTTATTTTATCCAATCGAAATTAAATTGAATATTTGATTATTTCAATAAAATTTCAATACAAATTTTTGGTAATTCAACCAAAATTTTGATTGCTTTGGACTTAAAATACGGAAAAAGCAATTAAAATTGCGGTTTTCAATTAATCCAGCACTACGCTGCCATTAAATCGATAACTATTTCATTTATTTGTGCATAAAATTAATTTGTGTTCATTAATTATCGAGTAGAATGTGTAATGTATAGTATTCTACAAGAATATTATTATATTATGATAATTTTTAGTTATTTACGTAAAAAAAACGCCATTGTACGTAAAGAAACGTAATTTTTAACAATGCGATGACATCGTAATCAGTATTGTAGTAATTTTATTAATTATTAATTAAATAACAGATGATAAATTAAATTTCCATTTTATGCATAAGTCATTGAAGGCTGATTAAGCTATAAATATTCGCAATAATCGTAAATCTAAAATTAAATCAGTTTTTGTAGTGTTTTAGTGATTATGAGCAATTTAATTGTAAGTTATGATGTGCATGATGACTGATTTATTCCGAAAATATATCGATATTAATTTAACAAACACATGGTATGTTGTATTGTCTCATTTCTTGTGTTTTTTCGCATTTTATTCGCTAATATAATTTATGTATTTCATGCGTTTATGACATGACGACCCCGACATCATCGCGCGTCTCGTATAAACTTTATTATGCCGACGTTGATTCTTTTTTGCTCGCGTTTATGCTTTATCACTTTTATCACTCGCGATATTGCGTACATCGAAGTAAGTACAAAAAGAGCGCAGCTTGCGTGCGACAATAACACAATAACGCGTATAAAGTCATTACTTTCTTGGGGTTTGTTTTATTGCGCTGGGTTTTTACGTTTTTCGGTGATGTATTACAATGAAATTACACGAGAATGAAATGGGGGATGGGTAGTGTCATTGGAGAGTTTATACAGGTGAGAAATTTAAGGTATCAGGGGTATTCACTGAAGTTTTGAGTTCAATACCGGTATTTTCAAAATATCGGTATACCGGTTTATTGGTTTTTAAAAAATACATTTTTATGATTTTTTTAAACTCATCTTATTGAAAAATACCGGTATTTTTTAGATTAAAATACCGGTATACCGGTTTTAATACCGGTATTTCACACTCTGAATACCGGTATACCGGTATATATCCCAAATAATTTTATATTGAAAAATATTGGTTATGTAAACAAATAATTCCGGTATACCGATATTGGTACCGGTATTTCACACCCCCTGGATACTATCCACGTGATTAATTAACAATTAGTGAAGGGTACATGCTTGAGCCATTACCAAAGGTAAATTAGTGCTTTCATGTGTTTAACTACCTGTAATTAATTGAAATCTATCATCTAAATGATTTTTAACATCAAATTTCTTAAAAATATGAATAAAACATTGAATTTTATATTAATTAAATTAAAACTAACATTTTTACAACTAATTAATACGAATTATTAACCTTTACACCTTAATATAAATAAATTACCACTTTATCAATGTCCCCAAAAATTTGATAACCAAATTTAATTAAACACCGCCCTAAAATGCAAAATTAACCACAAAGCATTAAACTTGTAATAAAACACTAATGACACATATTTTGCAATGACAAAATGCTCGTTAGTGACTAATTATATTTGTATAATAAATATTCGGGCGGGCGCTGTAATTATCTTAATACACGTTGACGAAGAACACCCTTCCTGCAAAAATGATTATGATCTTATAACTGATGCCTCCGCTATCCACTCCACCCCGAGTTATATTTCCAGTTTTATTTCTCTGAAAGTCGTGGTAAAGATGCGGTAGCAGGGCAGCAGGGCGCGTTCGAGACTTCATTAGTGCAAAGGGAGGATGTGTACAACCCACCCACACCTCCAGCGTTTAGGTGTGGTATGCATGAGTAACTAGACATGTCAACACGTGTGCACACCCCGTGGTGTGTGTTTGTGCTTTTCGAACCGGAATAGAATTCAACATCCGTCATTACTCGTCAACAACTCAACGAGTCAACTGGTTGAATTTTTTTCCTTCCACCAACAAAATAAAACATAGTAAAACATAGTAAAAGTGAAAGAATGAAAAATATACAACCAAGTGATGACGATCATCATGATGGTGGAGATGGCAGGACTTCCGGTGGTGGCCGGACACCAACCGGCATACTGCGACTTGATTTGGGCAAACTTTACAGCCCGGATGTTTCCGGACGCATGCCAAACCCAGAGTTGAAGTTTTTATCTCAGGTTAGTGTAGTTTTACTTGATTTTTGTTTTTAATTTGATTGATTTAGTTAATTATGATTAACTAGCTTTTACCGTACGCGTCTGTAGTCATAGAAGAAGTAACAATGAAGTAGAATGGCGGGAAGTTTAAAATGGCTGAAAGAATAGTCTATGGAAGTATAGTGTACAGTCTCCATAGTGTAGTCAATTGGATTTGATGTTGACGTAGCTGTCGGTAATACAGTGTGATAATACAGTGTGATGGTACTATAGTACTTAGGTTTGAGCTTCATTGCTGGAATGCTAGATGGCGTTAAAGTAGTCAAATAGCCAGATGCATAGGTATTATTGGCTACGCAATTTCTTTATTTTATTTAAAAAATTATTTTTTTAATTAAATAAAAAGTAGCCTATAACCATTCGGGGACCACTAAGAATATGTGTACAAATTTTCATGATGATCGGTTAAGTAGTTTTTGCGTGAAAGTGTAACAAACATCAAGACTTTCACATTTATAATATTAGTAGGGATATTCAGTATTTTTGGTTTTCGCAAAGTAATTAGGCAATTAATATCCAAATATCCTTGTAATTACATTCCGAATCAGCGAACTCCACATGCTTTTACTTTAATTAACAAAAACAAAAGCGCATAAATCTATGCCGGGCAGCGTTCGTCCTGCGTGTCGATGTTGTTCATGTCCCGATCCTCAACAATTGAACCATGCCAGCACAATGCTTCTATCACTCTGCTAATGGCAACCAACACAAGAAAACACAATTTGTTATTCACTTGTACATGAAACCATACAATGTGTTCAAGTTATACAACCAAATATGCATAAAAAAGACTATTACTGGTTTTGATCAGGTACATTGTGTATAATATGTGAATTCCATAAAGAAATTGGAGGGTTGCAGGACGAGGTGTTACGGGAATGGCAGGATAATGTATGGTATTCGTGGATGTTGCAGAGGTGCGGTCCGCGGATTGAATAAACGCGTGCTTTCGAGCTTTTTTCCTGTCGGATCGCCATTAAATTATGTATAACTCTTTTTCACTTACCACCACCACTACCACCGGCAGGACTCTTGCTTTTGCTTGCGTGCAATCCGCGAGACGCAACAATAAGTATCGGCTCGTCCTGCTTTGCGGCAGTTTTTAAGCTTTGAAGCGTGCCGCGCACTTGAAAAACTTGATTAAAGCACAAAGACAAAAGCTTGAGTTGTGAGTTATTCATTTGGGGCTTTGTGCAGATCGAACCGGCTTCACCGCAGCCGTCAATCGGCTCTCGACTTTCGGTCACTTTCGCTGAGGATTCCACTTCGAAGAGTTTTACATATACCGACGTTAAAACCATGGATAAAGTGCATTTTCCAGATCAAACACAAGGTAAACTATATTATCATCAAATTATTATAATAATTTACACTAAATTTGAACAAAAAAAGAAGCAGAAGAAGATTCAAATGAAGAAGATTATTCCGAAAGTCTCAAGGCGATTATAAACCGTCGTGCGTCCGTACGCAGATCAAAAAAACGTCATGGCCGCCGTGGTAGTTCCCCTTTCAGTCCAGATATACTCCCAGAGACAGAAAATGGTCGCCGGAGGTCTTCCGTTTTCACTACAAGCAGCGGAGAGTAATAAAACATCCCCAACACATAAAAATTCAACATAATGTATGCAACTTTACTTACAGTACAGGAATAACAATGGAAGATAGTTATTCCGCAGGCGTTACACAGGAACAAATCTTTGAAAACATAAAACTACACAAAGAAGTCCTCAGTAATGTAAAAATGCAGCCGTGGAACATGCGTCGTAAACTAAAACTTGTGCAAACAGCTAAAGCTTACATTAAAAAGCACGAGGGGGCGCTACAGGAGAGATTAGCACAGAGTCATTCAACGAAAGATATGTTAGCGAGGTGTAATATATATTTAGTCAAGGTAGGCAACTAAATATACTTGTAATAAGTTGTAATGTGTTGTGTGTTGCATATCGTTACATAGAAACTACAAAGATTGAAACGTGAAATGGCGAATTTATCAAACTGGTTGATTCCTTGGGAGAGTCGAATCAAAGAAATCGAGTCACATTTTGGTTCTGTTGTTGCATCGTATTTTATATTTCTACGATGGTTGTTCTGGGTAAATATCGCTATTTCTTCCATATGGGTTGCTTTCGCCACAGTACCAGAGGTAAAGTTTTAAAAATATTTAAAATAATTTTTTGGTATAATATAAGGTGGACCACTTTTTGTTTCCAAATAATATGGTCCCAAAAGCATGGAGGGGTTAGCCGCAAGTCCCATGGGTTGCGCAGTTAATTTTTTCAGCCGCCCCTCGACATAATCCGTCCACAATTTAAAATTAAACGCTCGAAAAACATGCGCGTCTATCATAGACGCAGCCCAATATTCACAAGCACGATTATGATTACAATTTGTATCGCCATAACATCCGGGTTGTGTTTTTCCACCATTCGGGTAGAAATCAACATGGCCGCATGTGTCAAACGTGCCTTTTTGACCTCCGTTTGTGTGAATGACATCAACAAACTTGGCGATGTGTTTTAATTCTTCTGAGGTGGTCTTTAACGCCAAGGAACCCAGAGTGGGATCCAATGACGTTAATCTGGAAATCCGTTTTCCGGTTAGCGTCGTGATTTTGTGCGCTGCCTGAATAGCAATCAGCGCTCCCAAACCGTGTCCGACGAAGTGAACGCACTTAAAAGGCACACGATTTGCCTTGATTGCTTCGATCGTGAAATTAGCAAGTCGAGATGCCACGAGGTCAGTGCTTTCATACGCTGACCGGAAATCTGCTGCCGCCATCTTGGAATAGTCTAGGGATATTACAGACCAACGATTTTTACGTCCCATTGCTTCAATTACTTGTAAAACCCATGGAGATTTTGTATTATCCGTCCAATCATGTATTATTATTTTTATTGGTGTAGAATGGGTTGCATCCAACTGAGGAAGGTGGTAATTTTTAATCAGCAATAATTCTGTTGAATTTCTACAGAAAAAAATGAATAAAAAACATGAAATAAAGTAAATAATACTCACAAATGATAAATATTAAAATTTACATCGTTTTGGCTTTGAATTCGATTAGTTAAACTTTGTTTCACACCCCTGAGCGCAAGCAGGTTAAGTAGAGTCACTAAAAATAACCCCATTTTAACTAACTGAGTCAAACTCATCGTGACAAACTTAAGTAGACTTAAATATTTGCATAATACATTGTGCAATATTTGTTTAATGTCCATACATATTTATACAACATAATTCCCAGGTGTTTGGTTGTTTTATTATTGTTCACAGTTGCTAACTGCAGACTTCGACCACCAGTCGGAGCGCAAGTCGATCCTACCCGAGGACAAGTACAACGCAACCAACTTTCTCACCCTCTGGGACTTTGAAGGGGTTTTCAAGTACTCGCCGATGTTCTACGGCTGGTACACGAACGTCACGCGCTCTGAATATGCCAGCGGGGGCGGCGGAGGTGGCTATCGCCTTCCACTAGCGTACTTCCTCACTGGATTGGCTGTCTACATTTTTAGCTTTGTAGCCACCCTGCGCAAGTAAGCGGGGCATAAAAATTTTACTATCAAAGTGCACTCAGAGTGTAAATTCAAGGATTCACAAAAATTTCTTTTATGTGTGCAGAATGGCGGAAAATTCGAGAATGTCGAAGCTTTCAGAGAAGGAAGACGAGTGTATTTTCTCATGGAAACTGTTCACCGGCTGGGATTATATGATTGGCAATGCGGAGACAGCGACGAATCGCGTAGCATCGATTAATATGAGTTTTAAAGAAGCTTTGCTTGAAGAAGCAGAGAAAAAACGCGAAGCGCAAAGGTATGTGTAACATAGGCAACCAAATATACACATAATAATGTTTTATTCTAGTTGGAAGATAATCGGCAGTCGAGTATTAGTAAACATCGGCGTGTTGCTATTATTAGCATTGTCAGCGTATGCTGTTATTCAAGTTGTCGCCCGATCGAATGACAAAGACGCGACGAGCACAACATGGCGGCGTAATGAAATAACCGTCGTCATGTCACTCATCACGTTCATCTTTCCGATATTTTTTGAGCTCCTGGGTTATTTTGAGCATTACCATCCGCGTAAACAACTACGTCTTCAACTAGCACGCATTATGGTTCTTAATCTTCTAAATTTATACTCGTTAATCTTTGCGCTCTTCGTGAAAATCGACAAAATGGTACACAAAACTTTTTTATCTTTAATATAGATGGCGTTACTAATATAAAATCTGTGTTTTTTTTCTGTAGACAAGTGGAAATACAAACGAAACAAAAAGTTCTCTTTACGCATCGACCACTATCGATCCATACTTATCTGCCGAGACGCCCACGCGTCTATTTCCGCTACGACTTGAAGTGGGAAACTTGGTGCGCGAGGTGTTCGCCAATGTGACGCAAACAATGGCGGCAGCGTGGGAGCCAGCCGTCAACGCCACTAATTTCTATGATTACGTCACCAACACCACCGCCGAGTTGGCTCTTAATTATTTCGGCAATGCCAGCGCCGAAACTTCCACCACGGAAGTGACAACGTCTGAATACGCCGACAACGAATTCGGTTATGAATTGGATTTTACTCAAGTGCAAGACGCGCTGGAGACACTATTCACGACGTTGTTTACCATATTCGACAATGCTACCACAATGGCTGATAACGAAACATTTTACGAAGAATCCCTAAGCACTTTTAGCACATTAATCGAATCCACAATAACCTCAACTGTTGATTATGAAAGCACAAGTGCAATCACACCTATGCAACCAATTATACACTCAGCAAACACCATTGCTCCGCTTGATTATGTCACGCGGAGTAAACTACGCGGGTTGTGTTGGGAGACAATGTTCGGACAGGAATTAGTTAAACTAACAGTCATGGATCTCATCATGACGTTATTGTCAATATTATTGATTGATTTTTTTCGTGGGTTATTCGTGCGGTATATGAACGGCTGCTGGTGTTGGGACCTGGAGAAGAAATTCCCGCAATATGGCGACTTTAAAGTCGCCGAAAATATTTTGCATTTAGTTAATAATCAAGGAAATGTCTGGATGGGTATGTTTTTCAGTCCGGGACTAGTGGTGATTAATGTTTTCAAACTTTACATCATGATGTACTTGAGATCTTGGGCGGTGTTGACTTGCAACGTCCCGCATGAGGTTATATTTCGCGCATCACGCAGTAACAACTTTTATTACGCCCTGTTATTGATGATGTTATTCCTCTGTGTACTTCCGGTGAGTTTCGCGATAGTCTGGTTGAAACCTTCGGATAATTGCGGACCGTTTTCTGGTTACACGAGAATTTTTCATATTTTCACGAATACGCTGCGTAAAGAGTTGCCTGAATCCACACACATTGCGCTTGATTATATTGCATCACCCGGTATAGTGATTCCGTTGTTAATGTTGCTCGTGTTGATTATTTATTATTTGATTTCTTTATCAGCGGCATTGCGAGAGGCTAATAATGATTTAAAGGTTAGTTTAGGTTATTATACTGGGTGTTGAGTTTTTAATTTTTTTAAATTTTTTTGTTTTTTTGTTTTTTAGATACAATTGCGTCGTGAGCGGACTGAAGAACGTCGTAAAATGTTCCAAATTGTCGTAAAACGTCGACGCGGAGGTTCCGACGGCTCGGATACTAACCCTTTCCTAAAGTGGAGAAAACTGTTGCGGGAAATGCCGAACAACAAAAGTTTCGATGAAACGCCGAAGCTCAGCAGGTCCGAAGCGCCGGAAGCAGCAGCAGCGCCGCAATTGTCGAAATTCATCGGACGTGCAATTAAAAACCGCAAGGCAATCGAAGCGCAGCCGAAATCGGAAGTCAATGATCAACCGGATGATGCCACCGACACCGAAACGCACGATTCACTACCAGATGATTACAGACAACGGAAATCTCGAGGACAACCCGGCGGAGAAGAAAAAAAGAGCAGAAAATCCGCGCACAAAAAACGCAAAGATTCAAACACATCAAATTGGTCCGAAGTGATACCAGTGATAACAATTAGCAAGACAGAAAGCGCCGAGTGTATTATCGAAGATAAATCCGACTGTGAAACGGCGAAAACGATGAAAATTCAAAAAGTCACTTCGGGAGGCAATGAAAGTCCAAAAGGTCGTTACATGTTGAAAAAGCAACCGGTTGTTGACGATCAGGAAATTAAGAAAAGCCCAAGGAAATCACAGGAGGCGAAAAAAGTTTTTCAGGAATCTTCGACGAACACCACCACAGAGACACGCACCGAGCCGTCGACGGATTACAGGGATAGCACGTTTTCTAATTAACATTGTTTGCTTTCGACTTAATTTCGTCGTGTGGCGGCAGAGGCGGCGGCGGCGGATAATCTCAGCGCGCTCAGAGTTAATTAAACGCCGAAAATATCCGGAATGTTCATATTCGTATAATATTCACCTCACATGTGTACGTGTGTAAATTTGGTTGCATACCATCTAAAAATGCACATAACCTATTTTTAACACATTAATGTTTGAAATATGAATGTTAGTGTAATGTTAATGATGTAACCGAGTAACTAATGAATGAATAGTGACTTAACACAACGCATCCGTTATTTTTTCGTATCGTATTGTGCGATAAGGGCTGGCACAAATCACTTGGCCTTCGGTGAGAACTTTTGAACTCTGCTATCTTGTGGTGTCTTAAATGTGTCATCGAACTTTCTTTAAATTTAATAATTTTTATTATTTCATTAAGAAAAATTGAAATAAAAAAATTTTTTTTCTTGAAAAAATTGTTTTTTAGGTCTGTAGGTGTTAATTAATTAATTAAAAATTAAATTTTGATTATAACTAATTAAATAATAAGTATTTTATCGAATAATAATAATTTTATATTGTTTTATTAATTTTTTGTTGGTTAAATCCGCCGAAAGGAAGTTTGACATCGCGACGAGAGGAAAGGAAATACGATTGCGCATTATCAATCTATTTTTATCACAACACGCCCTCAATTTCAGCATAAAACCAAAAAATAAAACATTTTCATAAATTTCATTACTCAAGTTAAGTCAACTTGACTTAAGCCTATTTGGTTGCTAGTGTGTGGCGTGGTTGCGTGGTTGGTGGTGTGAGTTAAAAGTAAAATGTGGTAGACAGACCTACCAGCGAGTCGCCGACTGGCTGAGCCGAGTTCGCCTGCGCACATCGCTTCAGTCGCCTGCACTCGGGCATCTGGAGAACAGCCGCGCACGCCGTGTCTTGACTTAAGTCGTGTTCAATCTCCGTGAACTGTTTTTTATCAGCGGTGCGCACACGTGAGATGAAATCGTCGCAATGGTGAAATAACTTAACTTAAGCAAAAATACTTAATGCTTCAAAATAAAACCCGATGTGAAAATTCTGTGTGTGCATAGTGTTTTAATGCAGTGCGAGTGAAAATCAAGTGTGCTTCGAGTGACTTAAGTAAAGTGTAATATTAGACTCAAGATGCGGTTGAAATTGAGTGCTTGCATTTTGCTGGCGCACATCTTTTGGGAGTCGCGCGCCCTGGACATGGCCTACACGCCGGTGTTGGGCACGAACGGCACAAGATGCTACGACGATATGCGTCGGCCGCAGGTATAAACACGCTTCTTTTGAGTTTATTTTCTTTTAGACTTCCTGAACCTGAACCTGATCAAAACCCACGGCAGTCTACAATTGAATAAATTTTTTCTTGTTTAAAATCAAAAAAAAAAAATAAAAAAAAAGAATCACATAAGCGCATTCTTAGAAAACAAAAGTGTTTTCAGTCAACGAAGCAGAAAACGCATAAAATTTGCTATCGTAAACAACCAGCTCGGGTTGCGGCCGGCCGCTGTATTTTGCATTCATGGTGATTTAATTAATTAATGACTATGGTGCAAAATTTTCATGCACCACGACTATAAATATCAAAATATCACAAAACCGCATTGTAACCTTTGAAATCCATGCATACTCGTACATAACCAATAATCCATTTAATATAGGCAACCAAATATGTTTATGTATATTGATTTTCACTCGCAACTCGTAACTTACTCGGAATTGTGTCTGGTTGGTGATGTGATTCGTGGCATTGCACTGTTTCTATTTTAAAACAAGCTGAAAGCAACAGCAGGGAGTCTGTATCGTGTATTAATGGCTGAAACTGACATGAGTTGATTCTAAATTTATTTAGTACTTACCTACACCAAACACAGTTATTACAACATCCGAAACACACAAAAAACAAAAAACACAAATTTTGAGGTTAGAAACACACACGACGCCATTTTATACAACGCCATCTTTGTATATACAATTAAAATGTAATGATTGCTTAATTTTAATTAATAAACTTATCTTCTATGCGCTGATGTATTAATAACCGCTTATTAATTTCTCCGGTGAATAAAAAACAACTCAATCTTTATATCTTCGCATCTTGAAAGTAGAAAACTTGTTTCTTCAACGCATCAACCGAATGTCTATGAAACCAACATTTATTATTCACGTGAATAGTTTTCCTTGGCTAGAAATTTAAATTTGAGAGTTTTACATGTACCAGCTGGTAGGTTTAGAGCTTGTAGTAGTTGTGTTGGGAGCTTTACGGCGAAAAGCTCTCCCCGGCGGTGATTATTGAGTAAGCCATAAATGTCCGAGCGCAATAAATCGCGTACGGGTCACACACAATGGACACCAACACCAGCACCACGTTTATTCCCTGTATTTTCCTAGAAGTTACACTAAATCACCAAATACCTCGCGTATATTTATTTAATTACCACGTTTAACGTATTGGATGTAATATTTTATGGTTAAGTGATTTTTAAGTTGCCTATATTAAGATTTGACGATTGTTTTCTAGATTTGTGGTTAGGTGCGTTTTATGAATGAAAAGACGTGTGTTTGCATTGAGTTGTTTGATTGTTTGAGTTGTTAAACATGTTAAACACACAATACCACCACCAGATGGACTTCTTCCAGACTTCTTCTTTGCTCGCATGGCGACGCGCGCCATAATTTATCGTCGCATATAAATTACAGTTTAATATTGCGCTCAAGTTGATTTAGATTAAACTCGTCCGGCGAAGAATTCGGCCTGTTTCCAATGCTGCACCGTTGTTGTTGTTACCTTTACGAAGAAGAGGTCTTGAGATGTTGAGTTCTTGAGGTAATTCCGAGCATGCCGACCGATGGGCGATAATTGCACATTCTGCGAAATAAAATATTTACAGCCTGATGTTGCATGGTAGACGGCGTGGCGCGGTTTCTTTTTGTAAAATGTTAAAATGTTCAAGTATTGCGTATTTTTTTGCATTTTTTTTTCTTCTTAACCTTATTTACATCCACACAGCATGAATTCAAGGCGCGTTGAATAAATTCTTGAAAGCTGCGCCGCGCCGTTCGAAACTCTTTGGGTCTTGGCGTTTTGGGCGGTAGCAAGATGTGCGCGCCGAAGTGATTTTGCAATTAATTAAAAAGCTGAATTACGTCTGACGCCCAACAAAGGACACGCCGACTGCGTGAAAGTACAATTTCAGGCATCAAATCAACTTTCGCATTTTTATTTTGCCGAAAATTAACAAATTTAATCTTTAAACGCCAAAATACATACTTTACCTGCTTATATATCAATTTAGTCGTTAAAGCGTTATAAATACTCTATGTAACGACGAAAAATATTTTAATTTCTTGCAATTATGAGCTAGAATATTTTTTCAAAGACGGAATTCATATTTAGACTTCAGGAAATATTTACCGGCATTTTTACAAGAGTAATTGTGTTTATAACCAACTTACAAAAGATTAAAAAGTTGCCTATCCACGTAAAATCATCATATTTGGTTATTTTTTGTTTCTCGTTGTAACATAACCTAGCAATAACGTAATTTTTAATTTTAGTGGTTAAAAAGTTGCATAACTTGTTCAGAAATACATAAAAGCTAAGTTTTTTGAAGAAATAATTCGTAAAACGTGTGAATTTTAACTAAAAACTAAAAAAAACTCTAAAATTTGGTTATGTTTAGTTCCTCGATGTATAAAATTGAAATAAGTGATACATCATTCGTGTGTTTCTGTTGTTGTTATAAAACTTTCCCATTTGTAACATTTTCATTTTCATTTCCAAAGATATAATGCGCTAGTTCGTGCTGTTATCTGTCTATCCGCATCGAGTCAAACTTTTAATTGTTATTTACGAGCCCGTTACTGCGTCCAAATGCTAACCACATTGCAGTCGTTTCTGGCTGACACTTTCGTGACTGGCACGCGTTGTAATTACTCAATTTAATGGAAACGTAAATAAGCATGCGGTTCAAACAAACTGTTTTCACAAATAAATCATTTTTAAACCTTTCTGTTTTTTTTTCGAATGAAAACCTGAGATTTTTTTAGATTACAATAGCGAATACTGGAAAATCAGTCGAGGTGGAAAGTTAAGATATAAGCTCGTAATCTTCCATCGCACGAGGCGCAAGCGCACCAACACACGAGTTTATATCAAGCGTGTGTATAAGATGCTGTTCTTCGTGCGCTCAAGACGTCCGCGTCGGGTCGTCAACCCCAATATATCCAATCCCATCTTGCACACGTGCATAAAACCCATCCTATCACTATACAACTCAATCATATTCCACAAAAAACAAAAAAAATCAATTTTTCTAAAAAAAAAATTAATTTTTCAGAGATGTATACCAGGATTTGAAAATCCAGCCTTCAATAATCTGATCGAAGCGACAAATACCTGCGGCGAGAACGGCCCAATCGAATACTGTGTCCAAACGGGAATCACCGGCATCCGGAAGGCGTGCACCGTATGCAACCCCGACCAACATTCCGCGCGTTATCTCACCGACGACAGCAAAGACCAACAAACCTGGTGGCAATCCGAAACAATGAACGAAAACATTCAATACCCCAACACGGTTAACCTCACTTTAAACCTAGGTATGTCTATGTTTAATGTATGCAACCAACTGTGCGTGTGGCCATATATAGCGTTCTGAAAACGTCGCCGCTCGATTCTATAAATAATGTAAAACCATCATCGAATAATAAGCACGTACGCGTACTATTTATGGAATTACAGCCTGCACGCATGAAATACGTAACCTCAAACAGTGTAATTATCACGAAATATTTACGTGGGCATGCATTGTGCGCGCACAATTTAAGAGGAAGCATAAATCAGTTCTGATTCATTACTTGTGTTAAAAGTGTCGTGGGTGTTTTAATACCCAATTTGAAATTGGACGCGCGGATATCCAAACATAACCTAAACTTGTTTCTATCTTGGTAATTACAGGTAAAGCTTTCGACATTACCTATGTCCGCATTTGGTTCCACTCACCAAGACCGGAAAGCTTCGCCATTTACAAACGTACATGCGAAACATGTCCATGGGTACCATACCAGTACTACAGGTAATTATTACACAACATAGGCAACCCAATATACAAAAAATAATTTCTGGTTTGTTTTTAGTGCTACATGTCGTGATACGTACAGTTTACCAGACTCCACACACATTGGCAAAGGTGAAGACACGCGAGCACTGTGCACATCTGAATATTCCGATATTTCACCGCTCAAAGACGGAAATATCGCGTTCGCAACCCTGGAATACCGTCCATCGGCGTACAACTTTGACGCTAGTCCCGAACTTCAGGTAATTTACCAATATATTTTCATTTTCACGTAGACATAAATTTTACAAAATTGCAAGAAATAAACAATAACAGAGGATAAATTTTTTCTTCTTCTTCATTTTGATGGGTGATTAAATGGCGAGTCCAAAAACGGACACGATGCAATACATTGTCTTGTTCTCCCATCGGACAGTGCATGTGCCATCAGTGGCACTGTCCCAGTAACAGGAGCTAGCTGTATGGAGACCAGCACCAGTTTTCTGCATAATGCTGCAGGTGACGACGTACTTGAATGCTTTCTTGAGTTTACTCAGCGCGCTCAGACACTGCTCGGAGACGGTGGCACTCCACTGATTCACCTTCTCCTGTTGGTAACTGTTACCGCCGATGGTCGCCTCGATGGTTTCGTTGATGATCTTACTCACGTCCTCGACAACGAACTGATTCTCGCCGTCGTCCATGCTGGCCGAATTTCGACGTGCGTGTCCACCCCAGCTGTCAGACTGATAATTTTTCCTGTCGAACATGGTCACTTGATCGCCATTTTCGACAATTTCACTTGATTCACTCAAATCTGACATGGCAACCACGAAAAACTTAGTTTTTTAGTTTTTTAGTGTTAATTCTTTCAAGGAGTAGACTGGAATGTAGTGCAGGAGGTGAAAGTGGAAATTCGAGGGTGTTACACGACGTGCGTTTCGCGCATTCGGAAATCGCTGTTTTTCCGAGGGGGAAAATCGCGGCGAGTCACGCGATGATAGAGGAAACGCTGCGCATCGACCCAATTTGGCCTGTTTTCTTTAAAAACCCCCAGCGGGTATTTGTATTTAAACATTTTCGAGCAAGTAGCGCTTACACATATCCGCAGGACTTGGCAAAACATCCCGGCCGTCATCAATCATTTCATACCCTCGAAAAAGCACAATAGACAGCTTACACACAATATTGAACAATTGAACAATACACGGTATCGAATCCTATCAAATTTTACGATACCTCGCGTATACAAAACAAAAGCGAAAGGATATTTGCTGTTTTTTACAGCGCCTGTTGTGCTGCAACCAAAATAACACTTTAAATAACTTTGGGTTGCCTATAGTCACGCGCAACGTAAATAATTTCATGTTTTTTCTTCTCCGCAGGAATGGGTCACTGCAACAGACATCCGCATCTCATTGAATCGTTTGAATACCTTTGGTGATGAAGTTTTTGGTGCAACTGAAGTGCTACGTTCGTATTTCTACGCGATTGTTGAAGTATCAGTGGGTGCGCGTTGTAAGTGCAACGGACACGCTTCCGAGTGCGTAATTTCCACGGGAATCGATGGGAGTCAGAGGCGCGTTTGTAAATGTGAACATTATACTGCTGGCGCTGATTGTAATGAGTGTTTGCCGTTCTTCAACGATGCACCTTGGCGGAGAGCTTCCGAAAAGAATGCGCACGAGTGTAAACGTAAGTTGATTTTTTTTTCGTTTTATTTTTTTTGAATTTCAATTTTCTTTGTGATATTGAACGGAGATGAAAATTGAAATGCACCCAGCGTGCAGCGCATAAAGGTCATATCAATATGAACGACGCGGTGAAATGGAAGAGTTCGTGATCTTTTACACCTACACTTTTTGATTCAACTCAGGTGTGTTCACAATTTGTTATGAAAACAAGTTAAATGATATTTTTAAATTTATATATAACTAGCTGTTGCCCGCGACTTCGTTCCGGCAGTGTTTAATAAAAATGTAATTCGTTTTTACTCTCTTGTTCTAGACATACTCGTAGTAAGAGTCAATTCTATCAATAAGATTAGCACATTCGGGGACCACTAAGAATATGTGTACAAATTTTCATGATGATCGGTTAAGTAGTTTTTGCGTGAAAGTGTAACAAACATCAGGACTTTCGCATTTATAATATTAGTAGGGATATAGGCAACCAAGGAGACATTAAAAGTGTCATGTTTATTTTTATGTACTTTTAGTTGCCTATATTAAGATAACTTACGCTCTGTATGTTTATTTATTTACAACACGCTTCATATTTATGTATCATGTTGGTGGCATCCAGCATCCAGTGCACATCAGTAAGTTATTCCGAATAAGTACACAATTTACTTTTCACCGACGCAATCAACGTCGCTCAAATGTGTGGCGCTCACGTCTCAAATCAACTTCAACTTCAACTTCAACTTTAACTTCCTACCGCATAACGATGCATATACAAAATGCATTGCATTGCATTGCACTCGCAATCATATCAAATTGTAGCTTACTCCTAGCTGATGCAATGCAAGCGAATTGAAACGAAATGAGGATGAAGAGATGCATTCGGAATTTTATCTCCGAATAAAACTACTATATGTGTATTGCGCAATTATTTATTTACATAAATTTTAGATGCGCCTTCGAAGAAGATGGAACATAATAATCGATAAATATTCAAATGTATTCGAATGAATAAACGCCGATAAGAAATTGTTGTGATGAAAGTCGTGTTATTTACACAAAACACAATAAAATGGAAGATTTACCTCGGGTTTGAAAATAATAAGTCATAAGTTGCAGGAAACGTGAAAACGTCGATAAGTAATTAGTGAGATTAGTGCATGCGTATGCAGTGAACATATTTGCTTAGTCAAACACAAACTACTGAATGATATTACATACAATGCGTTCACATTGAATTTTTATTGTTAAATTGATAAATTCCTAATGAAAATTAATTTTTTTAAAGTTTTTTTTATGATAAAAAACATAACTTTTTTGAAAGATTCTTTTTTCTTAATTTTTTCGATATTTTACTAAATATTTTATTATAGGCAACCTTAATCACACAAAATAAAGTATACTTGGTTGCCTATTTATACCGCAACTCAACCACTATGTTTACTACTACTTTTCTTAACTTTTTGCAATTACTTCACCTGTTTTGATTACACAACACACATGGTAGAAACCAAAAGAGTAGTAGTAAGATACAAGTCCGCACTCCGTCCACCTGAACCCGCGAAGAATCGTGAGTCAGTCACCACACGGCACAGCACACGGTTCGCGGTCAATTCGAAAAACATCTGAACTTTTCAATCGCATTTCACGCGAATCCCCAGCAATTAAATGCAATTTTAAATTAAAACTATAATCAACCACTTGATAAAAATACAATTAATCATGATTCATCTAAATTACCCACTTGAGAAGCTTAAAATTTAAATGTTATTACCAAAAATGAGTTTTGCGTTAAATATTTGTTCGTTTTTGATCATCTTAATCACTTTTCGTGTGTGTCTTACTCTCGCTTCCGAATGGGATGGATTCACGCCTTGGTATTCGGATTCATGTGAGTAAAATTAAATAAAATCGTACGGTTTACGGCGCCGTAGGTAAATTTACATATTAATTAATCACACGCAGCGTAACGTCAGCACTGGTTGAAAATGTCATTGTACATTGAGGCATTCGTAGCTTCCATCTGTCGATTTTATGTAATTACATTAATATTCCTCTTGTGACGTACAAATTATTTGTTTATTTGTTTGGAATGTGACATATGGCATCGTAGAAGTATGCTAGGCAACCAACATTACATTATACTAGGTTATGTTTAGTGTGACACTTTTAAATCCGTTAATTTATGCGTGATTTGATCGTAAATCAACGCGAATAATGCTCAATAGCCAGAATAATTAAAAATAAACGTTCGCGATGATAAATGACGACATAAATAACACCTTAACAACTGCAGTGATTTATTTCCCGCCTGCGATTTCAATATAAGTCCAATTAGAAAATATAATAAGTGTGATTGTCGACTTTCACGACCCAAGCACATATTTAACAGTAAAATTAATGTACAATTGTTCTCTAAGCGAAACTAAATTTAAAAACGGCGCCATTGTTATTGAACATATCGCAAATCTTGACTCAAGAAGGGGTATAATATAATATACATATAAACATTTTAAGTGCAATAAAGTCGTTACGATTAGATACGAAAGTAAATTGAGATTTATTCTATTCTAGTAATTGATGTTATTTGGGTTGCATATAATTGCTGGTTATGTTGAATGTGTTGTCTACTCATGCGAATATGTTTACCAAAGTTAAAAGAAGATAATCCCTATCCCTACTAATATTATAAATGCGAAAGTCCTGATGTTTGTTACACTTTCACGCAAAAACTACTTAACCGATCATCATGAAAATTTGTACACATATTCTTAGTGGTCCCCGAATGGTTATAGGCTACTTTTTATTTAATAAAAAAATTATTTTTTTAAATAAAATAAAGAAATTGTTTAGCCAATAATACCTCTGCATCTGGCTATTTGACTACTTTAACGCCATCTAGCATTCCAGCAATGAAGCTTAAACCTAAGTATTATAGTACCATCACACTGTATTATCACATTGTATTACCGACAGCTACGTCAACATCAAATCCAATTGACTACACTATGGAGACTGTACACTATACTTCCATAGACTATACTTTCAGCCATTTTAAACTTCCCGCCATTCTACTTCATTGTTACTTCTTCTGTGACTACCGACGCTTATGGAAACAACTTCATTATTTTAGATATTCGCGAGCGAAGCTAGTCTTCTTTATAAACATGGAAATACATGACATTCTTGAGGAATTCTTTGGCCACTGGCGGCCATTATCCCACGATATATATATATTGTCCACTACAATGCGAGCACACGCTTTTTTTTCACTTTACTATGCCTAAAGCGAAGTGTATGGCTATTTAAGGTGGTCGTAAAACAATGCGTTGCTTATATGGTAACACGCGCTAAACGTATCTGATGTGACATCATTAGCTCACTTACAAAATGGCCGCGCAGCGTAAAACCCTTTTAAACTAAAATGTAACTTTTTTCATTTTGTTTTGCTTTCAGCATGCAACTGTAATAATTTCTCCAATCGTTGTTACTTCGACAATGAACTCTACAAGAAAACCGGCCATGGCGGCCATTGCCTCGACTGCGCCGACAACCGCGACGGTCCTAATTGCGAACGCTGCAAAGAAAACTACTACCAAAATCAAGACCAATACTGCCAGGCATGTGATTGTGACCCAGAAGGTTCACGAAACCTCCAATGCAATTCCGAAGGTAAATGTTTCTGTCGTCCGGGTGTCACCGGCGATAAATGCGACATGTGCGACGAGAACTTTTACAATTTCGGCCCGGATGGATGCAAGTCATGCGGTTGCAGTGATGCTGGTGCGGTGAAGAGCATCCCGAAGTGTGACGCCTACACCGGCGCCTGCACGTGCAAGGACAACGTCGAAGGTAAACGATGCCGTGAATGTAAACCCGGTTACTTCAATCTGGACGAAGAGAATGAATTCGGATGTACGCCTTGTTTCTGCTACGGACACTCGTCCGAATGTCAATCGGTTAATGGCTACGCGCGTTATCAGATCGAATCGATGTTTACGAAGGGCAATGAGCGTTGGAGAGCGATGAATGTCTACAATACAACCATAGACATGCAATACAATGCGTTATCGCATAGTATTGGTGTGTCAGCGCCGGATAATCAGGATGTTTACTTTGTTGCACCCGAGAAGTTCCTTGGGGACCAGCGGGCTTCCTATAATCAGTTGTTACAGTTCACGTTGAGGACCGGGGAAGGTTATGTGGTACCAGGAGCAACTGATATCATCCTTGAAGGTGCTGGATATTCAATTACTAATCATATTTTCGCGCAGGGGAATGAATTACCATCAATTCAGGTAAATTTTTTAACGCAAATCAAAAATCTTAATTTTATACAGGGTGTTTCTTAAATTTAGAATCATGAATACAAGTTCCGCCTCCATGAACATCCATCCTACGCGTGGAACCCTCGATTATCCGCTCGTGCGTTCATGTCGATTTTAACCAATTTGACGGCCATTAAGATCCGCGCCACTTATGCGCAGCAAAATGCCGTTGGTTTCTTGCAACATGTGCGCTTGGAGACTGCATCGCGTGGTGTTGCTGGTAAACCTGCTCTGTGGGTGGAACAATGCTCATGCCCTGAAGGTACCAATAAATCAACACCTCCTCCATAAAAAAAACAACTAATTTCCTTTTGTTTTTAGGTTATATTGGTCAATTTTGTGAATCTTGCGCACCTGGTTACCGGCACTCACCTTCAATTGGTCCTTTCATGTCCTGTGTCCCTTGTAATTGTAACAATCACGCTGATAACTGTGATTCCGAAACGGGACGTTGTATTTGTAAGCATAACACGACCGGAAGTAATTGTGATTTATGCGCGAGGGGTTTCTATGGTAACGCATTGGGTGGTACCTTTGATGATTGTCAACCTTGTGGGTGTCCCAATGGCGGTGCTTGTATCCAAATAGAAGATGATACTGTTTGTGTGGAATGTCCTGTTGGTTACACAGGGTCAAGGTGTGATGTCTGCTCAGATGGGTATTTTGGTGATCCTACTGGTAGATATGGGCCTAAAACACCTTGTCAAGCTTGTGAATGTAATTTGAATATTGATACGAATGCAATTGGTAACTGTAACACTACAACCGGGGAATGTCTTAAGTGTGTTCATAATACTGGCGGATCAAGGTGTGAAACTTGTCTACCAGGGTTCTATGGTGATGCCTTGGGTTTACCCAAAGGTGATTGTAAGCCATGTCAGTGTAGTCCAGCTGGTAGTGTGGAGAGTGATTCAGGGCCAGTCTGTGATCAACTTTCCGGCATGTGTAAATGTAAATTACACGTTGAGGGAAGGAACTGCGATGTCTGCCAAGAGGGTTACTACAATATTCAATCAGGAGAAGGGTGCTCACCATGTAATTGTGACTCCATTGGTAGTTTGAATCATACCTGCAGTCTGTACACTGGTCAATGTTATTGTAGACCTGGTATTACAGGGTAAGGAACATTACATAACCTGATTTTTATTCTATTTGTGATTCTTTGATTGTTTTTATAGGTTAAGATGTGATCAATGTGAACCTTTCAAGTATGGCTTCTCTGTAGATGGTTGCAAAGCATGCGAATGTGATTACATTGGATCAAAAGATCCTCAGTGTGATTCATTTGGTCAATGTCCTTGTCTGGACAACGTTGAAGGCAGGAGATGTGACCGATGCAAAGAGAACAAGTATGATCGTCAACGTGGTTGTGTAGATTGTCCGCCATGTTATAATCTGGTACAGGAAGCATCCGCAAACCATTTTAAGAAACTGCAACAACTCAAAACAATCCTGGATGAAATTGAACGCAATCCAACTGTTATTGACGATGATAAATTCGAGGAACAATTGAATGATATCAAAGAAGATGTCCATGAGTTAGCAGACATGGCTAAGGAAGGTCTGGGCGGTGATGAAAAGTCCCTGAAACAGAAACTTGACAATATTATCGAGAGGCAGAAAGCTATTTCAAGGACCCTGGAAGGTATTGAAGAAAGTATTCTACTTGCAAAGGAACAGGACTACATGGCGAAGCAAAATATTACGAAAACAGATGAAACTATCAAACTCCTCACCGCGGATCTTGAGAAAGCTGAACAGAAATTATTATCGGATGGTGCTGATGCTCTTGAGCATGCAAGACAACGAGCGAAGGCATTCGGTCAACATTCAAGGAAAATGACAGAAATTGCTCAGGACGGACGGAAATTAGCAGATGTTTTGGATGATCAAGCTGATAGAGTTGTGACTACAGCTATTGATGCAAAGAATGTCTCCACAATGGCGTATGAACTCGCCAAGAATGCCAGCGATCAACAAAAGAACATAACACAAGAAATGCGTGCTCTGAGAAGTGATGTGACCAACACTGAGAATAAACTCAACAGAGTCAAGCAATTAACAGAAGATGCACATAAAAAGGCATTGGATAACAAAGACAAAGCATTAACACTATTATCAGAAGCTAGGAACTTGATACTGCCAGAGATAGATATAGAAAAGTTGAAGAAAGACGCCGAGGATACCAAAATGGAGTCGAAGAAGTTATTGGAGGAAGCAAATGAGCTGATGAACGAACGAGAACAAATGTTGAGGGATGTTAATGAGTTGATACTCAGTGCTAATGATTTGTTGAAGGGAGCTGTCGAAAATCAGGATACCACGAATGAGATTCTAGCGGATATTGATTCGGCTCGCGCGAAGGCTGCGGACGCTGTGGCTTCCGGTGATAAGACGCTTAAAGATGCCAAGGCTATGCATGAAACACTCACTAGTAAGTCAAAACAATAAAATTTCATTTTATTACTCAAAAAACTAAATTTTTGTTATTTTTTTTAGAATTTGATAAAAAAGTACAAGAAAGCAAGGATGCAGCGTTGAAAGCTTTGGATGAAATCCCAGAAATTGAACGTCTCATAGAAGATGCCCAGTTGAAGAATGATAAAGCTGAGATATCCTTAGGAGTTGCAAAAGACAACGCTAAACAAGCTTTGGTCAGTGCAGAGAATGCCTCACAGTTAGCCAAAAACGCAATCAAACACGCTGAGAAAATGGAAAAAGAAGCTACTATGTTGAACAAAAACGTCGCACAGCTCAAGAATGAAGCACATTTAATGGCTGACAGGGTGGTAGAGACACGAAACGAGTTCAATCGACTTGCACAACAAACAGAAAACAATGGTACTCTTATAAACGAAGCCAGAGAAAAGGTAAAACCATAAAAAAACACATTTTAGTTCATATTAATCTAAATATTATCATTGTACAGGTTGGCCGTGCACAAAAAGACTCCCAAGAAGCAACCAAGAAAGTAAATGACATCCGGAAGGACGTGGAAGCCATCATGAAAGAACTAGAAAACGTGCCATACATTGATGATGAAGAACTGAATCGTTTGGAGCAACAACTCAAACGTGCTGAACAACGTGTCCGCGACGAGAATATTGTAGCCATGCTTGAGAAGATGCAGAATGAACAAAAGGATCAACTCGCACTGATTGATACTTACAACAAAGAGATTGACACATTACGCAAGGAGGTAGAGAATATCGAACAGATTGCACACGCATTGCCTGTCGATTGCTTCAAAAAGCTGCCTTTGGAAGTTTAATTTACCACAAACTGAGTAGAATTATGAATTTCCTATTAGATTTACAAGAAAATATCGCATTTACAACGTATTTTATGCATTAGTGTTTTATATCTTAGAAGTTTTTCATAGTTTTCGGTATATTTGAAGTATTTCAACAATAACTCAACAAAATGATTGTTTTTGTTGATTTTAGACACTTATACTTCACTTGTGCCGAGAGTTGGATAGATTTTGATAGAATTTATAGACTGTAATTAATTGTTGTCATTGATATACCAAAGAAGTCTTGAACATTTCTCTCTCTCCAATAATTTAACCTCATCTAACAACTATCTTGGAATATTCTCAGATGAGTTAGATAATAGTGAATATTTTTTTGACACTTTGTAATAAATAATAAAAAACATGTAATTTAGAGATATAGAATGATGTGGATTATATTATAAAGTCCATCAACCTCACGCATTGTTAGAAAATTAGATGAGTCAATCATCAAATATAAGATAACCCAGATATCATGATAACCTGTGAGGCACTGCGTGTGTGGGTTTCAGAACTGATTAGAAAATGTCGCAGATACCTACAATTTTTTACTTTCTAAGTTTGTGTTTAATTATTAACGTAAAATGGACATTCACGCAAAAATTAAACAAAAGTAAGTTGATTAGTTGAATATTTTCTAAGTATTAATTATATGTTTGCTTTAGATGAAGGTTTAAACACATCTTGTAAGTGTTACATGCTGGGAACTGTTGAAAACGAAGGAAAATCAAAGTGTAATGAAAGAGGAATCTGTGAATGTCTCCCAAATGTAATTGGGAAGAATTGTAATCAATGTAAACATGGCTACTATGGAATTTTAAGTGGAAAGGGTTGTAAAGCATGTGATTGTGATCAAAATGGAGCTGAAAGTGATCAGTGTCATGCACAAACCGGAGAATGTTTATGTAAAGATGGATTTACTGGGTAATAACTCTTTAAATTGTTTTAACAGTTGTATAATGTTGAAATTATTGCAGTTTAAAGTGTAATATGTGTGAGGATTTACAAACTACAGGATGTACAACACCCTGTGATAAATACCGATCAGTTGATCCACTTTTTCTGCGTGAAAATGGCACCTGTGAGTGTAAACCGAATGCAAATGGCGCCCAATGCGCACAGTGTGATGCGAACTTCTATTTTAATACAACTACATTGACTTGTACCAAATGTCCACAGTGTTACAACGTTTTAAGTGAAAAACTTATCAATTTGAATGATAATCTCCAAAAAATCACAGGGATGATAGATGATTATCTAAATAATGTAACACAGTCTAAACATGAGTATAAGTTTCTTGTGAAACTAAAAACAGTTGAGAATAACATTTGTGGCATGTTGGGTTCATTGATGAAGAAGCCACAGATTCAATACATTGTTAAACTGAATCATTTGGAAACCATCTTGGATATTACAGAGAAAGCAATCAGTGACATTGCTATGTATTTAAATGGACATATTAACTATAAATACTTTGAAAATGAACTAAAACGGCTAGAAAGATTGATATCGGATATTTCTAAGAAGATAAAATCATCTGAATTTGGACCAGATCCAAATCAAGAGAAATTAGAGAACTTTGTTGAAGATTCAGATGCAGAAGTTGAAAAAATAGAGAAAATAGTTGATGATAACGAGAAATTACGACCAGAAGTTGATCAGAATTCGACTAATGCTAAAGAAACACTTGAAAACTTTAAGCAGAAGCAGTCAGATGGTTTGGAAGGTCATAACTTTGGAAATTTAACCTCTGCTAAAGAAATATTAGATAAAGCAGCGAAATATTTAACTGAAACACGTAGTAATCATAAAACTGCCAAGGATTACTTAGACGAAGCAAAGAAATTGAAACTACCAGAATGGATTGAACATCAGGAAGAAGAAGTGGATCCTATGATAAATGGTAATTTTGATGATTTATCGAAAAAGATTGAGCAAGCAAAGAAGAAATTTGATAAAATCAATGAATTCCTCAATGCTTTGAATAAAACTGAGGCTGTAAATGATACTAAAATCAATGATTACTTGTCTAATAACAAAACAGGTTTGTTTTCTAAAGTGGAGACAATACAAAGCGATTTAACAGACACTCTGGATGAGTTACAAGCAGTCAGAAGTGATTTAAACGAAGAAATGAATGAGATTGACAAAAATATCACTAAACTAAACAGTGATATTGATAAGGAACACCAACGACTTAAAGATATACAAACTTGTATTGAAGAGCAGAAACAACATATTACAGACCATGATAAACAGAATGGGGGATTAAAAGCTGATGAAGATAAACTAAACAATTTACTAAAACAATTGAAGAAGTTCAAAAAACAACGTAAGCAGTTTCGTCAATCTGTAAAAGATATGAATGAGTTGCTAGCTAAGAAAAGAAAAATAATTGCTTTAATTGATGAAGCTAACAAAATTATTGATGAATTTAAAACTTATATTCAGAATTACAACGATTTGATTGCAATGATGGAGGAGTTAATCAAGTATTTAGAATTAATACCGATTGATGAGCTTGATGAAATTGAGCGTCTTATACAATCGTATGAAGAATATTTTCATAATATTGAAATTTTGATAAATGAAAAGAAGATGTTGGAGAAAGAAATGGATAAACTTTCAATATATTTTAGCTCATTGCCGGATGGAACGTTTATAGAATGTGAGAAAAATATTACATATACATAAATAATGAATGTTTAAACAAATTAATATATAAATAAATATAGAATTTACATAAATTAGATGTAAAAAGTTAAAATTTTTGAAGTTTGCAAGTAAGAAATAAAAGGTGTATGTTTGGTTGCCTATGTTAAACTTGCATTGTAGAATTAAGTTTTGTGTTCTTTAAAAAATATTTTCAAGCTTTAAAATAAAAACTATTGTTTGTATTTATATTTATTAATATAAAACTATAATATAATTTATAGATTTAATGTTTGTAGTGAAGATTGTAATAAAAACGTTTTTAGTTGTTGTTTCGTGACAACTTGTGTATGATGTGAATAGCGCGCTGCATTACCGACGCGCCGAGATTAATCGCACACAGGCGCGCACACCGCCAGACGTTATCAGGCAAAATGGCAGAACGGTGCGGTGCGGTGCAAATGTAAGGTGTTTTTCGGCGTTGTTTTGAATTAAATCAAGTGCTAGCAAGTGGTTCGCGGCGTGCAAAAACTGAATGGTGCATCGGTATGGCCGACCACAGCATCGACGTATCGCAGCTGCCGGAGGATGTGCGGGAGAAGCTGGCCGAATTGGATCTGGAACTGTCCGAAGGTAAGCAAAGCCCTCTCATCATCTCATCCTCGAAATGCGTTTTGTAACCGCCGTCGCCGCCTTCAACGCCTGCATCTACTACATCTCGGTTAAACACACATCGTTCGTCACTTGTTTACAACCCTGGATATCACTATCAACAAAACAATTTCCACCAATAGGAATCCAGCTTGCGCCAAACAGCACACAAAAAAACAAAACACTATCGTTTGCTTGCAGTGTGCAGAATTACGGAAGTAATGAAACAGTGGTGAATTTTATGCACACGCCATACGCGGAAGTTGGAAGTTGATTTAAGGCCGTGCCTGTGAGGCTAGCTCGCAGATTAGAATATTAATTTATTAATAGGCTTGTGGGCTCGCCCATCACCGTCAGCAACCCCCATGACATGACAGTTGTAGGTTAAATTATTATTCACCACAATGCCAGTAAAAATTGTTTTATTTTTAGTTGTAATTAATGAAACAAAAGCAAAATACAGCTACCAAGAGACAGGAAGTGCGTGAAGGGTAGTGAAGTGGATATTCTTTGTGCATGAACATGTGTCTCATGTCTCTCAACATCTGCTGCAATGGCGTAATTGCAATTTAAAATTTCAGAATGCAAACCTATGGACAATGGCCTTGAGGATTATGTTATCACACACGAAAATGCATCGAAATGTTTATTTAAAGATCATTTGTGCGTACATATGATAACGTAGTTAAACATAGTGATGGATAATCAAACTTTCGGTTATAAAAATTTATTTTTATTTTTTAATATCTCGGAAAGTTTTTGGTAAAAATTGATAAAAATTTTACAGATTGTTTTTATGACTGTTGTTAATCACCAGTCCAAATTTGAATTTAATATCTTTATTGGTTTCTGAGTTATTTGCGTTTAAAGTTTTGTTTGAAGAAATTGATTGTAATAATTTCTTCTTGGCATCGTTTTTGTATTTACCTCTAGTGGTTTCCTACTTTTACGCTGTTCTTTGGTCGTGACACACCATTAGGGCCTCCGGCGTCTTTTACTCATGAGTCACCTTCTTCTTGAGGTTTCTTTAGTCTTTTGATAGCCTTCTTAGAAAGGAACGGTCAGATAAACTCACGTGACTGCACAAAAACACTTTACACGTCTCTTGCAGATCGTATTAGTTTAACATTAATTTTCTATTTTGAGCTCTCGAGTTATTCTGCATATTATTGGATTGTGTAACATACTGGCATGTAGTTCAATGTACGTCATAAGATAAGAAAACACTTGATATCTAGTGACTGACACTGACACGATTTGTATTACAGTGTTATATGTACATGATAAAATATTGTGTATACATCACATCGTAAAAAAGAAATCAACACACTGACGTGATTTTTGTGCGATATTACCTACGCTATTCATAATATGAATCACTGTACAACTAAAAATACACAGTTACTGCGCTTAAATCATTATTTGTGTCACTCATTCAACAAACTCGTTTTGTGCTGTTTATTTCGATTGTCGATTGTTTCTTATTTTATCTACTCATCAGCATGTGAGTGAGTAATAAACTTCGAGGCAATTCTGGCGAATATTGCATATTCATCAGATGCAATTACAAGTCTGCACAAAAAGTTTATTAGATAATAATTATTGGAAATACTCATACTTACGAGAATCTACTACATGGCGCACGAGACGCTGCATTAGCATTTATTTCCTTTTTGTGTCTGCTGCGTGTGGAGTTTTTAGTTAATTGCATCTTAAAGAAACGCGTGACTAATAACTAACTGGTATATTTAGTTGCGTCAGTTATTTATCTGTTCGGATAACTTCCTGATTTTAGTTTTTGCTAAAAATTAAATATTTACGCTGTTTTAACTACACCACCGTTAGAAAAGGAGTATTTTTACGTTGTCATGGCAACTTATATGTAAACTAGCTTTAACCCGCGTCTTCGCTCGCGAATATCTAAAATAATAAAGTTGCTTTCGTACGCGTCTGTAGTCACAGAAGAGTAACAATGGTAAGAATGGCTGAAGGTATAGTCTGGAGGGATATATAGTGTACAGTCTCTCCATGAATTGTAGTCACGGTGGATTTGATGTTGACGTAGCTGTGGTAATACAGTGTAATAATACAGTGTGATGGTACTATAGTACTTAGGTTTGAACTTCATTTTTGGAATGCTGGGCGTTAAAGAGTAGTCAAATGGCCAGATGCAGAGGTATTATTAGTAAAGCTATTTCTTTTATTTTATTTTAAAAATAATTTTTTATTAAATAAAAGAAGCTATAACCATTCGGGACCACTAAGAATAGGGCTTCACGCGATACCGAGACTTTTCTCACGTATCGTCTCGATCTCGTCTCGGAAAAGCGAGACGATACCGATTTCAGACGTGTTTTATCAATTCTCAGCGATACCGATACCGCAGTCCGAGTCTCTCGTTTTTTGGTCTCGTTATTGGTCTCGTTACTTTTTTTGTAGAGTTGTTATTGAAAAATGGGGAATGGGTCCAGTATATGAAATCAATATATGACCATCTGTGGAAATATTTCTTTTGTATATTCAAATAACAATTGATAACCGAATATCACTGACCTTTTTGACTTTTTGAAGAGTTTTATGAAATTTTGTGTTTTGTTTACACGTCGGTGTGTTACTGTGTTTTTCTGTACTTTGGAGAATTAAAATAGCGGTTGGTTGGAATTTGTGGAGCGTGCGCCGCTTGCGCTTTCCAACACAAATCAACTCGATTATTGTACCCTGGTAGCGTACGTTTAAAATTTGAAACATTAAAAATATATTTTCAATTAAAAGTGATGCAATTAAAAATTAATATTTTAAACTATGTATGTATTTTTGGATTTACTTTAATACAATACAATTAGCAATTAAATGGCCTAAACTTTTGAACTGCAAAAGATCAAACTGAGTTCTACTTAAAGCTTCACACGATACCGAGACTTTTCTCGTATCGTCTCGGTCTCGTATCGCTTTTGCGAGACGATACCGAGACCGAGACGATACCTTTGATAGTATCGTCCAGTCTCGTCTCGTGTGAAGCCCTAACTAAGAATATGTGTACAAATTTTCATTCAGATCGGTTAAGTAGTTTTTGCGTGAAAGTGTAACAAACATCAAGACTTTCGCATTTATAATATTAGTAGGGATTATATGTTCTTCCGCCCGTTGCAAATACATGCAGATTTCGGGCATTGGACACTCGCGAACAGGCTACATATAGTTAGTCCTGGAAGAAGCATGGTTTTCTTTATTTTAATGTGTAATATTCAATACGTAAATACCGGCCGGCATCTTCAATAGGCATTTTCATCAAATTTTTTTGCATGCGTCAGCGTCATTTATCTTTTTCGTTGCACAAACTTGCAAACTATTTTGCACACTCTGTAAGTTATATTTTTGCAACATGAAGTAGCCTATGTTATTCTCCAAGGTCCAAAATATCTCCAAACTAAAATTTATCAAAATTACTTGAGTGGTTTGTGCATATCAGCGCCACAAACAAACAAAAACAATCTTACGTTGGTTTTTATAATATTACTTAGGATATTTCTGTATATTAAAATTTATTTTGCGTGCATCTGCAGCTTGCTTAATTGCGAATTTATGTACGCGCTGTAAAGGAGGGCTTCGCTGACCTTGATTAAATGACGCACAATCGCACCGAGCGCAAAGTCGCATCACGTACGTGCACAGCGATAGGTAATTGTAGTTCAGCGTAAAAATACCACCGATGCAAGAGAGTCCGTCCGAGTTCATGCACTGATAGTTATTTCCACTCCACACTGCACAAAACTACAAAACTGCAAAAAAAAACATCAAATAAAATTCACAGCGACAAATTAATCAACACCCTGTATATAAATAATTGAATATAAACATTGCAGGTTGTTACCCTACGAATTCTACAGCGTGCAAGCCTGTAGGAAGTACCTGAATATAAATAAACAATGTTTTTACATGATGTTTTTACAGCAGTGTGATTTATGAGTTTGTGGACCCCTAAAGTACGATCACTGACCAATTGTGGGTTAGGTTTGAAACTGACGCATGCGCAGCACGCGGCGGTTATCCCACGTTGCTCTGGCCCCTAATAATTTATTTTATTTTATTGCCCGGCGTAAATTTACACAACCAATCAACACCAAAGCACATTTATGTGCATAGTTTTACTATTGATAACGACGCTTTCAACTTCTGCGCATTGTTTACACACATAAACCCAGCGCAGTAAAATAAAAGCGTGGGAAACGAAAAATTTCATTTGTTACGCAAATATTTTGAATTCTGGATGTTTTTGGTTTTAGTTTACGTAATTTTATTTAATTTTATTTTGTTCATTTATTATGTGTGACACAATTTACATGCACAATTAATTTCTTGCTTGATTTTGTTTCAGGTGAGTGTGCGAAACAAGCTGTTGCGAAATTTTCGAGATTCGAGTGACTCGTGGTTGAGGTAAGCGTAAATTTAAAATTTATGCACACGCGACGTAAATTCAATCATGGCGTGAAAATTGCTAGAGCCTCAGACGCGGACGTAAATCCATCGCATCACAAATCAATCGTTAACGTGCCATCACCACACCAGACTAAATGCGATGATAAATTCATTGCTTTTCCTATAAATCAGATTACACTCGGGTCAAAAATCTTTTAAATTTTTTATTTTTCACGAAAAAAATATTAAGAAATTAATTTTTAAGTAAAAAAAATA